CTATTGGAATGACACTGTCAATGACTCAGTATGGGTTGCCATGTGTCTTGTCGTCGTTCTCACCATCAATATGCTCGGTGCTGGCGCTTACGGCGAGACGGAATTCATCTTCGCGTGTGTACCGAGTACTATATCCCAATCTCGTATTCTGAGATTACTACAGATCCATCAAGGTCATCACAATCACCGGTCTTATTATTCTCGGTATAGTCGTCGATTTGGGAGGTAGCCCAACCCATGACCGTATTGGATTCCGCTACTGGAAAAATCCCGGACCATTCGTTCAGTATAATGGCATCGAAGGTGCCAAAGGACGATTCCTTGGCTGGTGCGCTGTTTTGACGCAGGCCGCTTTCTCGTTCATTGGAACTGAGATTGTTGCTGTATGTTGTATTCTAGGCCTATTAATCTATTGATCACTAATATCACCTAGATTGCTGCTGGAGAAGCAAAGAATCCTCGTCGTACCTTGCCCAAAGCCATCCGTCGAGTATATATCCGTATATTGGTTTTTTACATCGCTGGCACACTCGTCATTGGTCTGCTTGTACCATCCAACAACCCATTACTCAAATTGACCAGTAGCACCGCCCGGTCTCCATTCGTCATCGCTATCGAATTGGCCGGAATTAAATATCTTCCTTCAGTAGGCCGCACATGTCTTTCCTTTTTTACCTCAAAATTTCTCATCGCTATTCGAACCAGATTGTCAATGCTTGTTTGTTGACCTCGGCATGGTCCGCCTCATCTAGTGACTTGTACACTGCGTCTCGTGCGATTTGTACGTATACTTATCTGGCAGCCAACTCATTGAAATTAACGCAATTCGTAGATGGTCTTGCAGCCTCAAGAAATGCTCCGAAGTTCTTCCTCAAAACTACACGCAACGGGTTGCCTTACGTTGCTGTCCTCTTCTGCTCCTCTTTTTCCCTTCTTGCCTTCATGGCTGTGTCAACAAGTGCGGGTTCAGTGTTCGTTTGGTTTTCCAACATGACAGCCGTCGCTGGCCTTATGTCATGGTTTGGTATTTCGGTGACATATCTCCGCTTTTACAAGGGCATGCAGGTCCAGGGCATCGACCGCAAGACGCTCCCTTATTACACAAATCTCCAGCCATACGCAGCGTGGTGGGCAACCGTTTCAACGATCACCATCTGTTTTGTATGTTAACTTTTCATATCCGCTAATACTGTTTAGACTGACTATTCCTATACTCTCTAGTTCAGCGGATGGACCGTCTTTCTCGAAGGAAATTGGAGTACTGTAACCTTCGTCACCAACTACATCCTTTTTATTACCTGGCCGATCCTGTACGTTGGCGCTCGCTTCTACTATGGCACCAAGCCCGTTGCTGCAGAGGACATGGACTTCACGGGCGATCTAGCTGAAATCGTGGCGGACTCATACGACGAACCCCCACCAAGAAACAAGATGGAAGCATTCTGGCAATGGCTGGTGAGCATAGCCGCTCCACTTGGCAATTTTTGACATTACTAACATCACCCCACTCGTAGATGTAATTATACCTGCAATAATACCTGGAGCCCATTGATGATCGTCAATTATATTATTTGTTTGTAAGCCTTCAATTATTTGACATACCGTTGTTTGTTGTATGTTACTGCCAACTCTACCAATATAAGTCGTGTAAGGCCACGTGCGTGGCAGAAACTCCCGAGAGAAACTCCAATGAGCGTCTACGCGAGTCGCGACGTCGCAGGAAGACATTGCATACTCGTTTCGTATCTTCGGTGTCAATCTACCCGTAGTCTACGGCGAGATGAAGCAAATTGCACTCGGTCGGCTCTTACAGGAGATCATTGCTCTGTCGGGCGACATTACTGCCCTGGACTGGGTGAGAAAATCAAATCATCCGAGTTCAATAGCTGTCTCCCAGCTGACATTACCTCATACAAAAGCTCCTCCATGCCTGCTGTCATCTCTATCCGAAGACGAGATGCAAACATTGGGTTTCCACGCTGCGACACACTGTTGCTGTAGAGTCAGCATCGAGTCTTTATACCTCCTTGACAACCTCAGCGCTCCTCGTTTTGCGAACTTCAGACTCCAACTGCCATGCGTCGCGTTTCCCGTCACAGAAATTAGACGAAGGCATGGACAAGGACAAGAGACACGTTTGACTTATCATGTCAAAGCAGACGGACTTCGGGACTTGTTGATCCACACAGAAGATAGACTGTTTCAATGCTCACTGTTGGGATCTGATCCGTCAGAGCATCCGAACCGGTATCACTCTAATATCACATCTGTCATTGCATGTCACTCCTCATTGCACGTCACTCACCTAGTTACGATTATTTTCCTTCTTTCTTGCTATTTAGGACAGCTGGACGCTGTCGTCGCACCTCAGTCTGTTTGACCAACAACTGAGGTGTGTACGCTATTCCTTTCCCTACAGTACATGACACTCATTCGCGCATTTCTAGACTCGCGTTACATTAGGTTCGTACATTAGGAACTCAGTCTATTTGACCAACAACTGAGACTCGCGTTACATTAGACTCGCCTCTTAATAGGTTATGAGCCCTGCCTAAAAGGATAGCGGCACTCTCTTCTCTCGAACATCTCGTTCCCCCCATCTCAACTCTCGCTGACAAATATGTCTTCCTCCGACTCTCTCCAAAAGACGGAGAAATATCCGCACGAGAAGCTCACCCTCGACGGTTCAAATTATTCCCAATGGGCAACCGGTTTTAAAATGTGGGCTGGTGGTATCGGGCTGCATCAGTAAATTCACAAACTCCTTAACGGCACTTGCCACAAAAATAGAGACTTATTTTCGCTTGTTTTTAATTACTCACTTGTGCCGTGACCTTCGCAAGCTACTGAATATTTGCCAAAGCTGACAAGGCAGACAAGGACAAAAATGCTGTCAATTTAAACACGCGGCACACAAGCACAAAAAAGTGAGTAAGTGCAATATTGTATAGTACTACTTGTGATAGATCTGCCTTTTCCCTTAATCTCGCCTCTGTACAACAGTCTGCAAATTTATAAGGTCAAAAACATGTGTGCACAAACGTTATTACTCACGTCATGTCCGACGGGTTGTGTGTATCGAGTCCAATAGTGGGGACGCGGCAGGTTGCGCTCGCTGTTCTGGACAACGACGAGCGTGAGAAACTTCGACCAATTTGAACAATTCACCTGTAAACACGTGATGGTGATATCCATCAGATGTCTGTCGCCAAGGCGTAAGTCTTCTGTTTAAACGATGTTCAACAACAATGGAACTTCATCTGACTGAAACGATTCTTTTTTTTTTCAATCTTGCAATAAATGATATCGATACTGCTAGCCAAATACCCGCCAAAAAGTTCAACCTCGCTGGGCGTATTCCAGATTGGAGGTCAAACCTTCTCCAGCGGTCTACCAATTCTAGTTCAGCCCCCTCCTCTAGGTCTACCAAGGGGGGCACTGTTAGCGAGCGGTCTATCACTTCTAGTTCCGCCCCCTCCTCTAGGCTTACCAAGGGGAGCACTGTTAGCTATAATAGTGCACCCCCACTCACTCCTCAAGGTACTTCCGATCCTAATGATGGCACAATAATTCGACACTCGCACCTATATGAAGACGAGGAGGACGATGATGAATCGAACGAGTACGGCTTTGCTAGTGGGGCACAAGTCAAGGCTTCCGCGGTGAGTTCAATTATTTGTAAATTTATTTCACACATTCATCAATGCCTCAGGGTACAAATGTTAAGATTACTCCCATTGCTCTCGATGACAAGGAGGAGCCACAGAATACGGCACAACACACTGCAATTCCGATGCCTGAGGAGCTTGATGTCATTGGAAACGACAACACTGATGACTTCATCATGCTTTCGGATTCGGAAGAGGATGTTCAGCCCCATCCTCCTGCACGCCGCATCCCCCGAGTGAACTACGCATCCGATTCAGACACTGATTTTGAGACTCCTCTTTCGGGGCAGGCCTCCCCCGCAGATCGGGATGCTGATATTGAGTTTCCGTCCCTCGCCCAGCCTCCCTCGTCTCGCTATGTCCCTCCCGTGTATTCTATCTCGCCGACGGGCCCGGGTCTAAAGCGCAAACTCACAGAAGAAGATTTACTCTCCCCGTCATCTGAGGTTGAAGTGTTGGCTGTAGTGAAGAAAGAACCTGAAGCAGTAACACTACGACAGACTTCTGCAGTATGTATTCGTTTGCTGGTCGGAATATCCTACTGATTACTAGGAATTATGTAGACCGGTATCACTGTCAAGCCAAAAGCTCCTGCGACGAAGAGGTTGAAGTCCTCTGCTGCAAGTGCAGCCTCTCGCACAAGCATCACACCCTCCCAGGCAACAGAGACGCCACCGATCATGCTCTCTCGATCTCAGTACAGAATGAAGCATCTTCCTGGAGTTTGTCAGACGTCGGGCAAGTGGAGTGGCATGTTTATCCCCACTTTGATTTACTGCATCGGCAATCAAGACGAAGTCTGGGCCATCAAAGACAGTCCCCTTAGCACTACTCTGCAACTAATCTGGGATGCCGTCTACAAAGCTGTCCCATACACGGTCACCACTGACGGGCCTGTCATTGCCATGGTAAGTGCCTTTTGACCCCATTCACATTTGATCTTCTCATTTTTTGCAGGCCCTTCAGCGGTTGTCAGAATGGCGCAACAGCCTCGGCACCACTGCCCTTGTCGTATTTGCAAACTTCCTTCGCTCGCAGTCTGATCTCGAGACCGATGAAGATCGTGAGGAATTTTCTGCGTGCCTACTAAACAAGAGTGCCTTCTTGTTTGGGACAATCAAGGAGGACGGTAGTAAGCACACAGAGCCATTCCAATCTGACCTTATCATGCAGGTGCTTGCACAGCATCACTGTGCCGTTTCTGGTGCTCTCGCTGTTGTGCCAGGGATTACAACATTGGGACATGCAAAGGGGGCACTTGCCCTTGCCACTTTGGCGGTGCTAGGTCTCTCCATTCTTTATTTATACAGTTAACTCATTGGTCATGTTTAGATGGAACGCGCAATCACACTTTTTGCCAGGGAGGGCTTTCTTTTAAGTCACATCGAAATCAACAGCCGAGGAAAGGCTTCCAAGGCCCCCCAGAAGCACAACAAATCAACGGGTAATGAGAGTAGCGCTCTTTTGGCTTTTTCTGATGCCAATTGGGGTGCACCCACTAAGTCGTACATTAAATCCATCACCCGCGCAGGAGACTTGGTCATTAGCAAGATGTGGGAGAGAGCTCAGAACCTCACCGCGAAGACGCATGGTGTGCGAAGGGATCTGGACGAGGAATCAGAGGATGAGCACGCCCTCATCTGCTAGTCGGTGCAGCTCTCTTTCATGTTACTTGTTTTGCAACTGACTATTATGATTTTGTGTTGTGATATTAGGACATTCACTCGTTTTCCATTGCTCTTCGTCGTCCATCTCTCGTCGCCCATCTTTCATCATCCATCTCTCATTCTCTCATTGTCCGTCTTTTGTCTTTTGTCTTTTGTCTTTTGTCTTTTGTCTTTTGTCTTTTGTCTTTCGCCACCCGTCTCTTGTTCTCTCGTCATCAGTCTCTCATTCAAGTTGTCCGTCTCTCGTTGTCCATCTCTCGTCATCTAATAGTAGTAGTAGTAGCACTAATTTCACACATTTTCAAGCTGAACCATCGCTACTAGTATCCCACTTTTCCTGTCACTTACCAGCACTTGATTGTTACTTTATATTAACTTGTCCGCTTGCCAAGTTGAAATGCAGTATTTTCCGCCGTTTTTTTTATGAATTAAGTGAGCACAAGTAAAAGCAAGTGAAAATAAGTGCCATGCTTGTCAAGTACTTGCCAGCCCTTGTTAATAATTGTGTTGAATAGTAAGTGTAAAATAAGTGTAAAATAAGTCTGTGACAAGAACGAAAAAGTGCAAAACAAGAGGAGGGATCTACTTGTTGAACTTGTGGTGGCTTGCGGCAAGTGGTTTTTAATGTCCTTGCCTTGGACTTATCTGCTTCTTGTGGGAAATTAATTAATGGCAAGCGCCGGAAAAGCTGATTAAGGAATGTGAGAATTTACTGATGTGTGGTCGTACGTTAGCGGAGACAAGAAGGAACCGTCCCCCACCGGCTCCGCTTACAGACCCTGACCAAAACATCATCCACAAGGAGAAACATGATGAACAAGTGAAGGTCTACAAACAGCGACGACTCTTGGCTCTCAGTGCCCTTTCGACGGCGATTGATGCACAAGACTTTGTGTATCTGTGCGATATAGATGATCCGCATATTGCTTGGACCGCCCTAGAGAAGAAGTACCTTCCTCAAAAGGCCATTCGATTCAATCAGTATCTTGATTGCCTGTTCACACTTCCCAAGGCACATGACAGTGCTTCCATCGCTGAAACATTGCAGACGCTTATCATTCTAAAGGCAGACCTTGCAGCCCTTTCAGTCGCATCGGCACCAGTCCCTCCTACCACCTCTACAACGTCTACCACCACTCCAAAGGATGAATACAAAATCCCGGACGCGATCTTTGTACACACTCTACTGCGAGCTCTCCCTGATTACTACGACCCGCTCCGTCAAACCCTTGTCAATAGTGACACCTCGCTAGACTTCAACGACATTGTAAACAGATTAAAGACCCAGGAGTTGCATTGTGCCGGCACCAACAGCGCACCAGAGCACATAGCCATGTTCTCTGGCCACCGAGGTGGCAATGCAACCCCCAAGACTAGTGATCGTGTTCCTCCTAAAGGATTCGACGAGACGAAAGGGGATGGCTGGATTGTAGGGTGGCGTCCTAAGTGCAGACACTGTCAGAAAGCCAGGCACGTTTGGGCGCAATGCCGTGGACGACTCTCCAATGAAGAAAAGACCTCGAAGTCAGCACCACATCATTCATCCCCTACCGCTATCACCGCTAACACGGAATCTCCCTTGGCAGACCAAGTTGACGAACCCATCGCACCAACGCCATTCATGCTCACCCTAAAAGATCACTCCGCCAGCATATCATCAACTCTCAATCTGCCGGATGGAATGTTCCATGTAGATTCAGTGCCGACTGCTCATATGGAGCCAGAAATATCACATTTTTCCCACTACACGAAATTGTGTGAACCCATCCGTGTGACGCTGGCTGATGAACATGTGGTCTTGGCCCCTGGATGGGGCAGAGTGAGACTTGTCCTACGCTACGGTACATTGCTAACAGAGCACGAATTTGAATTCCTGTATGTCCCTGACCTACGCTGCACACTCATCTCTGTCTCCACTCTCGCCTCTGCTCGTATCTCATTCACCACGACATCTAAGGGAGGGACGCTGCGCTCTCAGGATGGAGATGGCCCATGCCTTGCTCACGTGAACCCAAAGGGTGGTCTGTACCTACTTGATGCTACCTATAGTGCTGAGATCGCCCCCACTCCCATGCAAGTAATGCTTACCAAGTCACCATCCACAGAGTCATCTCTTAATACCTGGCACCGTCATCTAGGACACGCAGGCTTCTCGACTATCATGAGGGCTGTTGGACATGTTAGTGGGATGAACATTGATGCCACGTCGTTGAATGACAATACCGACGGCACGGACTCGATTCACTGTGTATCCTACCTTATGGGCAAGCATCGACGACTTCCCTTTCCCACTACTGCACGTTGTGCGAAGGCTGCTGCAGAATTGATCCACTCTGACGTCTGGGGCCTGGTCAATACTGCCTCCTCCTCTGGTGACTACTACTTCGTGGTATTCACCGATGACTACACACGGTACTCCGTGGTCTACCTCATGCACGCAAAATCAGAAGTCCTTGATCGGTTCAAGCACTTCGCGCCGTGGGTACAGACCCAATCTGGAGGCCGTATCCAGCGCCTATGCAGTGACAATGGTGGTGAGTATGTGTCTGGGGACTTCCTCCACTACCTGGCAGAGCACGGTATTGAACACGAGATGACCATGCCTTATACGCCTCAGCAAAATGGCGTGGCAGAACATGGCCACCAGACCGTCGTCACGCGCGCGCCTAGCTCCCATCACTTGAGCGGTTTCCCACATTCTTTCTGGGGCTGGGCCATCCTAAACTCAGCGCATATCAAGAACATGCTCCCATCATCATCACTTGCCGGCCGCACCCCCTTTGAGGCCTTCTATGGCCGAAAACCTGACGTTAGCTATCTCTGCCCTTTTGGCTGCCTTGCTTATGCGCACATCCCAGAAGATACTCGCCGCAAGTATGACTTTGTCTCGCGACATTGTTTCTTGCTTGGCCATGTGCGACATGCAGGGTACATTCTCTGGGACCCCTCTGCCAAGCGCACTGTCCGCTCTCGCCATGTCCATTTCGACGAACACATCTTCTATGGGGACCCTACCCCATCGCCTCTCTCCCCCCTTCTCGGTGATTCTATTGGCGACTCTGTACCTACCCCCAGCATCCAATTGTCAGTGGGAGATGCCCCGGCGCATCCGCAGACTGGTGAGCCGCCGATCTCGACCCCAGCTGGTGCTATGGCACCACAGGGGTCAGTGGGAGGTGAAGCCCATGACCCACCAGCTGCAGAAGCAGGAGCCATACCTGCAGAAGCCATACCTGCAATACCCCCTCCAGCAGAACCAATCCGTCGCAGCACTCGCACACGCCAACCAGTACACCCTGGCCATGTTGCACCAACTGGCACCTGCGCAACAGCAATACCGACGAGGAGAGTCCCAGTCGCTGAACACTGGGCCTATGTGCCAGAACCACCAATCCCTGACAGTGAGGCAGGCAGTGCCAAATCTGCAATGCACACAACAGCAGAACCCCCGAAACGTCAAAACATAACCATACCTGACACCATCGACAAAGCATGACAGTCACTGGAGTGGACCCAATGGTCGGATGCCTGCAAGTCCGAACTAAAATCAATGCAGGACCTTAAGACTCACCGACTTGTTCCACTCCCACAGGGACGGAAGGCAATTGGCTCCAAATGGGTGTTCACGCTGAAGACTGATGAAGAGGGCAACGTCATCCAGCACAAGGCGCGATTCGTCGCACAAGGTTATATGCAGGTTGAAGGCATTGACTACACAGAAACATTCGCACCCGTCGCCAAGTACGACACCATCTGCATTCTCCTCTCTCTCGCCGCAAAGTTCGACCTCAAGCTGGACCAAATGGACGTCCGGACAGCCTTCCTCAATGCCGATCTCAAGGAAGACATTTACCTCAAACAACCTGCCGGTTTCGTGGACCCTGACCACCCGGACTGGGTGTGGAAGCTTGAGAAGGCCCTCTATGGACTGAAACAGGCTGGTTACGAGTGGAATCAGACGTTAGACGAGTACTTGCGAAAGGAGGGGTTTAGGTTTGTGAGAAGCGAGGCGGACCACAGGCTTATACATCCTCCATGAAGGGGACAAGGTGATATGGCTAGTCATCTATGTCGATGACATGCTTGCAGCATCCAACTCCCACGATTACCTGAACACATTCAAGGCGCAGCTCAAACGTCACTTCGACCTCTCGGACCTCGGACCTGCCCACCACTTCCTCGGTATGCATATCATGCAAGACTGAGAGAAAAGGCTCCTCGCAGTCAGCCAGAAAACGTACCTTGAGAAGATCCTTGACGGTGCTGGAATGTCAATGTGTAACCCAGTAAGCACTCCCATGACCCCAGGTATCGTGCTACAGAAGGCTACACGAGCTCCAACAGAAGAAGAAGCAGCCACCATAGCATCCATCCCATACCGACGAACGATTGGTGAACTCAATTATGCCATGCGCACTACGCGCCCTGACATCGCCTACTCCGTCTCATGCCTCTCCCATTACATGGAAAACCCGAGCATTGATCACCATCGCCAGCTCAAGCACCTCCTTTGGTACATCCGCGGGACTACAGACCTAATGCTCGTTTTCGGCTCATTGGACGAAGGACTTGTTGGCCACTCCGACTCAGACTATGCTGCAGACCGGGATGATAGCAAGTCCACCAGCGCATACGTCTACCAACTGTTCGGTGGGCCCATCAGCTGGAAGTCCCAGAAGCAGTCTGTTGTCGCCACGTCGACCACAGAGGCAGAATACATTGGTCTCTCAAACGCCTCCCATGAGGCATTATATCTAATCCAACTCCTACACGACTTCCGCCTCGACCCAGACCTCTATGACCCCGCGCTGCTGTATGGCGACAACCAGGCTACCATCGCACTCTCGAAGAACCCCAAGTTCCACGAGAAGGCGAAACATATCCGTGTCCACTACCACCTCATCCGCAGCCTCGTCGACTCAAAGAACATCGAGCTGCAATACAAATCCACTTCGCAAATGATTGCAGACAGCTTGACGAAGGCACTACCTCGTCCTGCAGGGGTTCAGCACCAGGGGGTTATGGGACTCCGTCGACAAGATATGCCAGATGCATCAGTAGACTACAATGTTCTGTACAGGGTCACAGTGCCACAACTTGGTCCCCCTGTGACAGCTCTGCACAGAACCTCCCAGCACCACAGCTCCCAGTGCTACAGAGCTCACAGTACGACAGCATTGTTTAGCAAATATAACAAAACAAATTCGCTTTTTTGACAGTATTAATGTGCCAATGCCAGGAATTGAACTTGTGACCTCACAAAGTTCAGCAACAACTTCAACACAAAGTTACCATTACACCATAGTGTCTTTATTTTTCCTGACTCACAATAACATATATACCAATGGTTCTCAAGCCTCAATATTGTCTCCCCATTGAAATCTATAGTCAAACCTCATTATAACTTGCCCTTATTGAGATCTTGAGAAGAATTAAACCTTATTGTAACATATTTTTGACTAGAAAAACTTGAAGGTTTAGTGCAAACTGTAAAAATTGTGAAATTTAACAAGCTTTAGTCAATAGGTTTAGCACTTTTTGTCCTAACAATGAGTTTGAATAAGCTTTGGTTTGTACTAAGGCTTAGTGTTGTTGAACTGAAGAAAAGACTTGGTGAAAAATTTTGTGAAAAAGTTTGTGAGTTCTGTGGCTCTGTGGCTCTAGGATTCTGTGAGTCTGTGGCACACTGTGAGAATCTGTGGGAAAAGCCAAAGTCTGTGTGAGGTTTATTAGTTTGCTGTGCTGTCTGTCGCACTGTGAGAATCTGTGGGAAAAGCCAAAGTCTGTGTGAGGTTTAGTGGTTTGCTGATGTGCTCTGACGAGTGGGAGTGTTGGGATCTGATCCGTCAGAGCATCCGAACCGGTATCACTCTAATATCACATCTGTCATTGCATGTCACTCCTCATTGCACGTCACTCACCTAGTTACGATTATTTTCCTTCTTTCTTGCTATTTAGGACAGCTGGACACTGTCGTCGCACCTCAGTCTGTTTGACCAACAACTGAGGTATGTACGCTATTCCTTTCCCTACAGTACATGACACTCATTAGCGCATTTCTAGACTCACGTTACATTAGACTCGCCTCTTAATACTCGCGGGTAAGGCCCATTAGTAGAGCAGACATTGCTACTCGTCCGCCCATGGAATCATCATGACCTCAGGCTGCCTGTCCGAGTCTTTGCCGACGATAAGACCATGTTCGCGCTGGTCTACACCATGGTTCATGACTGCTGTTCATGACATGATGGGCGTCAGGAGGCTAGAAATAATGTGGCTGCATTGTTATCGAAGATTGGGGACCTCTAACGCGTCATCTATATTTGACACTACTTACATGCATAGAACAATATCGCTTGGCATTTCAAGTTCTCGACGCTTGTTCTTGCACCTTCGCAGTTGTAGTGTACATGGCTCGCTGAAGTTGTAACAGCCCCCGCTCCATTTGCTTTATCGGTCAGAAGGAACTTCATGTTCTCTACAGTATGTGAGTCCACGCTGCAATTTGTGTGGACTTCCTGCCCTCCTTCCCTACCTTTCCATTCACTAACCTCATGAGTGTTGAGTCGACGAAATCAAGAGCCCTGTCAGATGAACAGATAGTCATTACTTCAGTGACAGGAAACATCCCTATATGGAATCCTTTTGTGTTTTTAATGCGCACGATGAAGGGCTTTCACTTCTCAATATCACACGAGTGGCTCTGTATTGGGGCAGGTTTACATTCCACTGGAAAATATTTGATTACTCTCAGTAGGAAGGTGGCTTCCACTGCGTTTAGATATCTCAGATGCGAAGAAGCCCTGTGTTAATGCACGCAAAAAGGATACACATATAGTGATGCGACAGTTACATGGGGAAAATGGAAATATACACTTGCGGCGCCACCAAAAGATAGACTAATGGCTTTCACAATTTGTTTGTAAGTAACCCAAGGCGACGCCAAACAACAGAAAGAAAGCCAATACACCGCGCCAGATCACTGTCTGCACATTCCTCTTCAAGACAGCGTCCAAAAGAAGGCCGAATGTACAAGCCTCCGCAAAAGACATCCAGTAGTCCACCCCTGTAAACAATATAAAACCACCTGGATAAGATATCCAATAGGTCAGTGCGTAACCCTCGTGTAAACCGAAGAGGAACGCGTACCCTTCGCCAGAAATCCCAAAGATAAAGCGAGTGAAAACTCTGCCGTGCGAGAGAGAGCGAGACAAATCAAGACCTCCATCTTGCCCGGGTTCTAGTTCTGGGGTCAATGAAAACTCACTACGGTTTACTAAATTCCCTACCCGGAATATCGCAGACTGTCGAAATGCCATACAATAGCCGTACATGCGGGGATAACCATTGGCACAGCACATAAACAAGGAGGAAAGATGCCGAGAGATTCATCAGGGCTTCGTAGTTTTCTCTGGATGAATGGTCCGCAATGTCGATACTACGTCATAGTATCGACATGCATACTCCACCCACGAGGGCGATGAGGAACATCTACGTAAAAAGTGGAGGTGTTAGTCTTGCTAGACAGAATGGGGATTAACAATGAACTCGCAATGAATAAATCAGGACCTGAACATATGACACGCTTATTCACGCCGTTCCATTGGCTCACATCCCGCCACAATTCCTCGAGATCAGGCTTTCCGAGAGTGATTAAGTAAAGTTGAGTGGAACAAAACCGAGCGAAGGGCTGGGATGGCAGCTTCCAGTCGTCAGGAAGGTCTAGTGGCTGACTTTCAATTCTTCCGTAAGGTGCGTAGGGATCACCTTCCATTAGGGCTTTTAAGAAGTCCCAGCCCTTATCGTACGAGCGAGCTGAAATAATGATGGTGTCTTGATCTCTATTGTACATGATTTGAGGTCTTGTTGAGCTATATAGACAGTCTAGAAGGTAAATTGTCATGAAAGGACATCGGCGGGCACAGCGGAGATACCTACCTTGGTGTTGCAGATCAAAGTGTGGAATTTGAAGGAGGCGGGACGGTACGCGAGTATATCACCTAAATCCAAAAAAGGAAATTACCGTTGAAGAGTGACGTAGTCGACATATTCTAACCAAGCTTCTCCAGCATACTGTGTCTGACGCGACCTGCACACATATCGAAGACTGTGTGCGCCTCAGAAGTATTGGGACGTCTAAATGCAGCGCGCATGTCATTGTATCCGCAAAAGCAAACACGTTCTTCAATGGCGTCGCTGCGTTCTGTCACGACGAAGCGGCGACCACAGAAAAACGAGGCCTCAAGATCTGTAACATGACTGCTGTATCCTTCAAGTCGAGGGTGAATTCTGACTGGCTGTATTCGCTGATGGTTATCACGCTGCAAGGATGAATAAGCAATCTGGAGTCGAGTAGCCGTGGACAAGAGAAAAGAAGACGAACGTTAGCAGGCGTCAGCCGGTCCTGGCGATGTTAATGATAGATCATCGTGCTTCTGGTGTGGATGGAAGTTAACTTGTGGTTGAGAGCAGAATTAGGAAGAAGTGCACGAACCGTATCAATTATGCAACAACTAAAATCCTACTTACACTTGCTTCATCAGGCAAGTGAAAACAAAGAGAGGAGGGACAACATGTTTTCAGGGTCGTACTTAGTACCAGGATGTAACAGCTGTGATAGGCCAGTCCTAGTCACAGCACATCATATGCTGGTACTAAGTCAACCATGCCCTGCATAGGAGTCCTTAACAGCGTCCGAATGACCAAGCCAGGGTACAGACCTGTAGAGTGCCGGTGAAGAGCAACTCTGCAAACTGTTCAAAATGCTGCGAGGATCTCCTTGTGTTTCGCATGAAGACCCTGGTAAGTGATGTCCGATTTCAGACACTATCGAAAAGAATATTGAAGTATTCTGGGAGAGCATCAAACGATCATTTAAATAAGTAAGGTACGAACCGAGAGAGTGAGGCTCGGAAGAGTGTCTCTACGATCCGCTCGAGCTACAGCGTCACGACAGCGACGATCCCTTAATGAATTCCTAGAGATTATTGCAGGTGGGGATAGTGAGATTCCGATGAATGCCCGATATCGGGAGTACCGCGAAGGTCTGCAACGAGTCCTTAGTAGATTGATGATGCTTATTTTGGCCATACCAATGGTGTTTTTCTCCTGCGCCAGGAGGGGTGAAAGATCAGGAACGCAGAACTGTGAAGGATACGCGGTTAGTGCGTGTATTGTTACTCAACCAAGGTAAGGTAAGAACCTGGAGTGAAGAGTATCTCTGTGATCTGCTCGAAGCGTAGTGACAGTTACAGGTGGTGGCACCGCGACTTCGATGAACGCCCGATATCGGGTGCAGTCCAAAGGTGTTACTATCCAGGTTGTGCCCAATATCGGGGGATCGCATAGATCTGCAACGAGTCCCAAGTGACGCTTATCGGGGGGTGGTGTATGTCTACTGCACCGGGAGAGGTGAAAAACGCCGCGTAGAACTGTCAAGGATGCATGGTCAGTACATACATTGTATCATCCAACCAATTTACGAACATATAGTGAAATGCATCTCTGTGATCTGCTCGAAACGCAGCGACATCAACTGCAATGATAATTTCAACTAGCCGGTGATGACGCTGCGACTCTGATGAACGCCTGATATCAGGCATTGCCCCAAGGAATGAGCATGAGCAGCAGCACATACCAGGTGCGCTGCATAAGGAAAAGCAAAGTTTAAAGTGCGAGTTTGGACAGCAGCGATGCCACGTTGCCAACTGCAAGGAGCTCTAGAACCAATCATTGGTTCCCAAGACCCTCGCAGGCGATGACGCTGTAGCTCCGATAAACGCATGATAATATACGCGGCCGTATCCCAATATAAGTTGGAAGTACTGTCACTGACGAACACTTGGTAGTGTTTGCCCAAGTCACAAGTTTGTCCTGCACTGGGAGGCGTAAAAAATATTTAGCAGAGCTGAGAAGGATAAAGACACGTCGAAATAAGCACTTGCGTCGATAACGAATCAGATCAGCTGGTGTTGTATATGAGCAAATACGACATGGCCTTCAGAGGTACTAGTTCATCGTGATACTCTGTGATGCCCTGAGACGAGTAAATCGAGTTGGCGTTGGGAGGAAGAGCAGATCAAGCGCCGAGGGATTAGTAGGAAGCTCGAGATGTTATCTGTACCTATAGAGGGCTCTTAGCTAGGAGTGCATATCTAGTGAGAAAGATGGTAAAAAATTTCAAGGACACGTCACGATATTACTTAAGTAACGGGTCCGGCGTAATGTTGAGTGCCCGGGGTAGAGCTGAATCAATTGCTTCATTCCGAACTTGTGAACTTCTGAGCACTACGTTGAAGGTAACCCTGGCCAGTTCTTGACATCTCTAGTATGATGGACCATACGCTCTACCTAGTAACGAGCTACTTTCTCTCATCGGTGAAGTTATTTCATCAAGGACCAAATCAACGACGACGTCAAGGACACTGAATTTTACCTGTAGCACCGCAACAGTCCATGGCGCCGCGGCACTTTAGGATCTTTCCTTCCTGGACACCCAAAAGGAACAACCATCACAAGATCCTCCTGGAATCACTCCTCCACTCCCCTCTTCTTTGTTGCTGCCCACAAACAACTCCCTCTTCAAATTGGCCTATTACAATCCCAAATCTTGGTATGCTGCAGATACTCAGCCGGCCCACCCGCTCAATCATCCACGTGCAACGGTAGATCACTAACCTCCCCTAGACAGTCAATAGTAATGCGATGATAGGTGATTGTTGCATACTTGATACAGTCCGTGCACTCCTCCCCAGTTTTGTCCCACAAATTACCTTTTCCATCACAGGCGCGACGATCGATACAAAAATAGTACTGCTCGGCTATCTAAACGAAATGAATATCCATTTCAGCGGCTTTATTCCCATCTCGATATATTTTCTCAAAGATTAACAACGGGACCGGGTGACCTCCCACCAACGTTTGTGCTCTTCACAACTACTCAACGCCAGACCACTCACACTTGTCCCTGAAGCTCAAGCACGATAAGATCAGCGAATGCAGATGTCCAGTATTTCCAACCTCAAGAAGTGTTCTTGAACGACTATGCAAGTCCCGTACCGGGTACAAATCTCAACCAGCCGAACGCCGGGAGCAGCGAACGCGCTCCTTAGCCGCAAATATGATCATCCCTCCAATGACATGCGTTCAGCACGAAAAGCAGCGACCGCCACCCGCAGTGTGACAGGGAGTAGCGCCACCAGTCCACGTTATTATCGATCTTACAAAAGTCACCGAGACAATTGATATGGGGTGTGTTTGTCTTTTGAAGGCAGTAGGTGAGGACCTGAAAAACCAAGTAACCCGTTGACTGGTGTCCTCATGCGCTTCCCCCACCAATCGGAGTGTCGTTCGTGAATCCTGTGGTGGTATAAACTGATCAATGTAGCACTTCGTTGCTTATGCAGGTTACTGTGCAAGTCTATTACTGCTGATTTCTAGTCTCATCGATTAGATTTAATCGGGCGTTGTTTTAAGTTTCTGCGTTCACATACTTGATTTAATCTTAGTTGTTTCTAGATCCGTTGATCGGAGCAAGTGCTTTTGCTTGAGGATTGTCAAGGTAATTAATTTCAATATCAGGGGCTGCATCTCTTTTTTGGTATAAAACTTTCTCCGAGTATAGTTTCAGCCCTGACGAGAACAGGTATAAAATCAACGCGGGTGAGTTGAAAAGGCCTCATAGACGACCGCCTTCTGTTACAGTGAGCATCCCTCTTATGCCATACTACGCCCATTCCATTGAACCAACATATAATAACTTTCTAAGACTCTGTCATAGCAAATTCGCGCACAGTGCGCACGATTAAACTTTTTCGGTGTGTGGGTTTACTGGCATGATTGCATTATAGGCTGAAACATAGCCATAGCAGTACCATGAGCTCGTTCAAATCATTTACCCTCACAATCCTTACCGCTGCCAGTGCCAGTGCCAGTGCCAGTGCCAGTACCACTGTGACAGCAAATTCTCCTGAAGCAAGCATTGTGTGCCTATCCTCGTGCACCTCTCAACAACCTTCGAACTGCCCGGCAGGGACATTGCCTTACCAGTGGACAGGGCCTGACGCGTGCTGGGCGTGCTGCCAACCGTTAGTGGATTAGTTTGGTAGGTCAGGAAGGATAGTTTAGGTCAGTATCGCAAAAGTTAATTGAACCTGTTTAATTCTTTCATATTTGCTCTCAATACAAGTCAAATATGTGCCACCGTTTTCCACAAAGATTGAATACTCAGCACAGATGAGATTCTTCGGTGAAGCACGAACAGAGACGCAGCGTTGACTCTCTTCTAACCCACATCCCTGACAAGCTGTGACAACTTCAATGTCTTGCTTTCCAACTATCCCTGCGCTACGCTGACAACTACGCTCCATGAGCTTAGTTGGCATGGGTGGCGTTCATTCAACCCGTTACAAGCGCAAGGCCGCCGTTTCCGTCAGGAACGCTATCACTAAAGATCCACGAGAAAAGAACCACCGCTCTCGCATCCGGAAATGCTCGTTCGTACCTTTCCCTCCAGATGCTGACCATTACTCTATCGTCCCGAACCCCACGATTCTCACATGCTCCAGCCACGTCATCCGAGTCTGCCTCACTTCTAAATTTTTAAAATACAATACTTAAATTCTAATAACCTGTAAGTACTAGCTGGCAGATAATTAATGTTATACCGGAATATCCGGAACAAGAACAGGATCTCCGAGCGGCATAAATATGTACAAAATATAGCCACAGCGACGATGTTGACTTCACCCTGACAGACCGTCAGCACTTATGGCTCGTGGCAGAAGAAGGCCGCTTGTATAGGCCACGGCGTTTAGTTGAACTGATTGCTGCGCAACAATCCGTGAGTATGACAGCTGGAGACTAGAGCCTGGGTGTGAACGCACCGCTACAATGTTAATGCATCATCGCCAGATCAGGAGATACCTTCCTCAGATTATGGGGGACCTAGGGCCGGGGAAAAGATTCGGGGGGCTACAGATTAGGAACGTTTGAGCAGGACTGGCAGGATTGATATGTCGCTAGTCGAGCAACAAGTGACTAAGAACTAATATGAGACGTTGGGAACGAGGGATGATGTGGCATGGACGTCCCTCTCGAACAGACATGCCAAGGGGGAGGGAGATAAATAACAAGCTCGGATAATTGTATTCGCCAGTGAAGAATACAGAACTTGGTAGCAAGATTAGACGTAGTTGACATCTAACCAGGCTCATGCGAAGATGAAAGCTGAGTAAGCCTCTCAAGCACGTCATGTCGACACGACCTGGACACATCGGGGACTGCGGGCATCACGACCTTCAATGGCAAGAGCAGGTTGCGCAAGTTGGGACTGTTAAGTATCGGGGGCGTCTAGATACAAACACACATGGCATGTGGTCCGCAAAAGAGAAAACCCGTTCTTCAATGGCGTCGCTGCATTCTGTCACGACGAAGCGGCGACCACAGAAAAACGAGAACTCGAGGATTTGTAGTTATTGCTGCCAGATCCTGGAGCATGAATACTGAGTGCATGTGGCTATATTCCCTGAGGGTTATCATGCTGCAGGGACGAATATGAGTGTTTCGGGAGTCTCGAATCGAGTAGCGGTGAACGAGAAGAGGAGACTCACATTTGCAGGCATCACCCGGTCCTGTTGTTAATGGTAGATATTGTCATGCTCCTGCTATGGACGGAAGGGGAGGTCATATAACGGAAAAACTGCTGCAAGATCACTATAGCCTGTTAAAAACTAGCCGGGTGGTGGTAGCATGCATGCATTGCAGGAAAAAGTGGTTGCGTGAACAAAGATTATAACAATTTTAAAAAAAAACCGGATCCAAAGACAAGATAGGTGTCAGATGCTGCAGTGTTAGTGCCCATCTGCATACGGGGGAGATGCACAGCAGAGAAAAAGAGCGAAATGGGTCCGCAATGGAAGGGTGCGTGGCGTTGCCCGCTTGGCGGTTAGCACAAGCATCACGAGCAGTAGGTATCGCAGACGGCGAGTGGGTGGCAGGCTGAGTCTGCGCCTGAGCCTGGGGTTGACCTCGCGATTGACCTTGCTGTGGCTGTGTTTTGGCGACGATATGGCATTGTGTCTGTGCTTGGCCTTGCGATTGTTGCTGTGTTGGTTGTATATTGTCACTGGCGGTGTTGAGGTGATGCACAGAAAAGAAAAAGTACGAGATGGGGACACAATCGGACAAGGCGTGAATGCGCAGGTCTTGCACGTAGTGTGGTAGTGCCTAGATTATGAGGTGTCCCGGAGGTTGAGGCGTCGGAGGGGCTGAGTTTTGTGATGATGGACGCCTTGGCTTGGCCGTGCGATTGAGCTTGCTGTTGCTTGTGCTCGTTTCGCCTTCTCACGTTCTGGCCGGCGAGCAAACAAACAAGTCTGGACGGAAATGATTAAACCATGGGCGACGCGAAACGCACAAGAAGAACGAAATATCTTTCTAATCTTGTACTGTGGGAACTTCGACAATATGAGGTCCCTGATGAGAGAAGAGGACCGCGTTGGGCGTTGCTGTAGTTCAATTGCTCCATCGGTATTGGAGCGAGAGTGGCGGAAGAGGCAAAAGCGAAAAGCGTTCAAGCAGAGGTGCACGAGGTATACTGCGAGGGTGTTGTGAAGGAGAACGAGGATGGGTACCGCGTGCTGCAGAAGATTGAAAGTACAGAGGTGGAGAACATGAAATGGTTCAGAATGTAGACGTCCACACCTGTGCACCATTTTGTACTCCATGAAAAAATCCTTGTGGTATTCGACGGACTTGAATAGGTGGACGTCGCGTAGCATTGCTCTAGAGCGACAATATTGAGGTGGTTAAAAGATTAAGGAATGCGTCACGTACGTTCATTAACGGCTTTGAGTTGGGACCTGCGAGTGGGATGTTAGTGAGTCCTTCACCGAAGGACCATGAGATTTACATTAGGAATAGGACGGGAGGAGGTCTTCAAGGCCAGATTTTTGAGGATGGTATGAACGTCCCATGTGTACGCATTATTATTGTTGCAACCAGTGACTAGTACCTTGCCATCTGGGGAATCGGGATAGGGCAGCTGCAGAGCGTAAAAACATCTTCATGCTGGAGGGGTGGTCCGACTGGGAGGTTGGTGTCGAGATTCCATAGACGCGCTGTTTGATCATAAGATGCACTTGCAAGGAGGCAGTTGTTTTGACTCTTGAGACAAGGAGATGGTGTAGACATCAAGTACTGGTGTGGCCTTCTGCTGCCAAGTGGCAGTGTCGAATATCCTAATCGGGCCCAATGATCCGGAAATAAGCTTCTGTCCGTCCGATGTCCAGGCCAAGCTGTAAACTGCTCGATCGTGTTTGAGTGTGTTGAGAAGCTCGCCCGTCTTCGTGTCCCGGATTTTTACAGCGTTATCCCAGTCTCCTGCTGTTGCAAGTTTTGATGAGTCAGGCGAGTACATCATTGCATGCACCCAGTGATGCCCGGTTTTGATTGAAAAGACATTTTTGCTGCTGTCCCATCCCATGGTCCACTCACTACTCGCTCACCATCTGTACTCCAGCACAATGTACACATAAATCCGGTATGTCCTGTCCAAATATTGGCAATGACCTTCCTCTTCTCGACGTCCCACAACCTCACCACATAATCGCCTCCTCCGCTTGCAATCGTCTTACCGCTTGGAGATAATGCAACCCTGACGAGAACAGGTATAAAATCAATGCGGTTGAATTGAAAAGACCTCAGAAACGACCGCCTTCCATTGCAGTGAGTAACCACACTACGCGCATTTCCTTGAATCAACATTTAATAGCTCTTCTAAGACTTTGTCGTATCAACTTCGCGCACAGTGCAGCTTATTAGACAATTAAATTTTTGTCGGTGGGTGGTTTCCTGGAACAGTCGCATTATATGCTGAAGCATAGTCATGCCAGATACCATGAAGCTTGTTCAAATCGTTTGCTTCACAATCCTTGCCGCTGCCAGTGCCAGTGCCAGTGCTGCTGCCAGGAACACTTATGCTGCCATGCCCAATTTTGCTGCCAGGAACACTTATGCTGCCAGGAACACTTATGCTGCCAGGAACACTTATGCTGCCAGGGACACTTATGTCATGGCAGCAGAATCTCCTGAATAAACCGTGCATGTGCTGGCGGGAAGGGCGGACTGATGAGGGTACACCTCACATCAGGGCATTCGTGACTTCAGAAATCAGAAGAGACACCGGGGGTCCCATAGATTAGAAAGTATTGTCCTACATAGAACACCATCCTCAATGGACACAAATTAGATTTCAAAAAAAATTCCCTGAGGTTAAATCGGTCATATTTGCTCTCAATACAAGTAAAATGTGTCCTGTATCGTTTTCCACAAAGATTGAATACTTAGCAAGATAAGATCCCTGGTGAAGCGCGAACAGGGGCGCAGCATTGACTCTTTTAACCCACATCCCTGACAACTTGAAGGTCTTGCTTGACGTTATTATCCCTGCGCTACGCTCAGACGGCCGTGCATTGACACGAAACCATGGTCCACATAGTGGGGCCTAATTGGTGTGGGTAGCGTGTGGGTAGCGTGTGGGTAGCATGTGGGTAGCGTGTGGGTAGCGTGTGGGTAGCGTTCATTCAACCTTTCAGAAGCGTCAGGCCATCAGGATTGTCATCACTACCTGAGATCCGCGAGAAAGTACTACCGCTCTCGCATCCAGAAACACTCGTCTGCACCTTTCCTTCCCCATTACTGTCATCCCGAACCCCACGAGTCTCGCACCGCACGCATGCACCATCCACGTCATCTGCCTGACTTCGATACAACACCTCGTTAAAATCCGATAACCTGTACTAGTTGGCAGATAAATAATGTTATACCGGAAGATTCAGAACGCGAACAGGATGTCTGGATGTATCTGAGCGGTATAAAATATACACAAAACATAACCACAGCGACGACGTTAACTTCACCTTGGCAGACCGTCAGCACTTATGGTTCGTGGTGGAAGAAGCCTGTGCATATAGTATATGCCGTTCATTTGAAATGACCACTACACAACAATCTGTGAGTATGACTACTGGAGACTAGAAACTGGGTGTGAGCACACCGTTGCCGAAAATGCAAATTGAAGGTAACGGATCATCGCCAGATTAGGAGACGTGTCTTCCTCAGATTATCGGGATCTAGGGTCGGGGAAACGACTCGGGGAGAAAGATTAGGAAGATGTGAGCAGGACTGGAATGATTTTTATTTGGCTGGTCGAGCGACAAATGACTAAGAACTTATGAGGCATTGGGAACAAGGATCGGAGTCTGGAGAGGAGAGCATGATGTGGCAGGATATCCTCTCGAGCAGACATGGGGATAAATAACAAGCCCAGATAATTGTATCTCGCCAGTGAAGAAATACAAAACCTGGTAGCAAGATTGCCAGATGCGATGCTGAAGTATGAGCACTGAAGAAAGTGCAGATGAAAAAAATGAGACTTGATCTGCACAGCCGTGACCAAGTGAGGTAAACACGAAGATACAGAATATAAGACGCGCATATAAAGGTCCTAATAACGACCTCCTTCTGTATAGACTCAACATTGAACGAAACATACTCCCTGTTTTTCATAAGTTGAGTAAGTGATGACATTCGTAGGCCAGCTTTTGAAAGTAAGAACTGAAGTTGTCCCGCACCCATTAGGTAAAGTCTCTGAGCAGCAATCATGTCTTCCCCAGGCTCATACGAAGCAAGAAAGATCAACTATAGGGCCTCATAAAGCCTTCATGGACATACCAGCACTGTCTATGGTGTCCTACGGCTGCCCGGGGACATCGGATCTCCATCTGTTCATGGGATGCACTTCAAGTCTGGGACTTGGAGAGCGACATGCAGGTTGGGGAGGCATGGAAAGACGAAGGAAGTGGAGGAGTGCGTGACATAGCATTGTCGCCTGAAGGCAAGAATGTGGCAAGCGGGAATTTTGATGGTGCACTGAGATTGTGGGACATCGACACGGGCGAGACCATCGTGAAATTGACGGGGCACACAAAGGAAGTGTTGTCTGTCCGCTGGAGTTCAGACGATATGTGACTTGTAAGCGGATCATTCGATGGGATATTCAGAGTGTGGAATGTCAAGAGCCAGCGTTGACACTGTCTTTGATCAACTTGGACTTAGAAAATGCTTGGTGGTCTCATTCGTGAGTGATAACCCCAAAGGCCAGTCATAAAGCGACCCGCCCGGGTGTACACCGCTCAGAGAGAGAAACGTGCAGTGGGATAGAGCAAAAGATGGAGGAAGGAAACGTGTTCCGTGAGATGAAGGTGTCTAGATAAGTTGCGTGTTTCTTAAGGCCCGGGAAGACCACCAAGTCGCACGCATTAATCATTGTGAAAGGCATCAGAGCCAGTTACCACTTGAGACTTTCGCAACCTACATGTATAGTGACGACCACGACACTGAACATTTGAAGCAGTGAGCACTGAGAAAAAACGGCGTCTGGCCTCGAAATGTATCTAAGGACCCGTTTGAACAGATCCTTGATCACGAGGTCGGGTATGACACAGACAATCTGTTTTGCGGTCGTGATGCTGTTCTCTGATTACCGGGGTTGTTGTAGAAACATCCATGTGTCTGCAACGTTGCGTGTGTGGGTACTCGAAACTTGATACAATGGAATGATGAAAGGTGGTCCCGTAAAAGTTCACGTGGTCAAAGCGAAACAGACGAATGAGCAACGATATGATTGAATGTTTTATTGCCTATCGTTGAGTGGGAAATGGAAAAAAGATCGACAGTTCGGTAATGGCAGTGACTTGGGCCATAGCTGTGAGATGAGAAGCGAGGAGAAGTAAATGTAATGGAATGATCCAGGGTACAGTACACAAATGCCATACAGAGGGGGCGTGATAGGAGACATTCAAGGCTGTAAGGCTGGCAGTTGCTCGCATTCAAGACTTCGAGTTCTTCGCTGCTAACTTCTCAGTAACACCATAATCTCATCTAGACTTCTAGCGCGGACGAGCTGGCGTTTGGCTTTACCAGGGTCGGAATCACTGCCGGCGTCAGTCATATAGCACACTGACAGCAGGAGACGTCACCTTTGAACGCATCCAACGAATACCTTTCCCGTACTCGACTCCTTCACGAAACGCAACCATGGCTTCCACATTGACGAAGGCAGCCACCACGGAATCGATTCTGAAACCGGTAACAACTTTGAAGTCTTGGAGAGTACATTCCATCCATATCCTACTTTCCAGACGGCCAGTGAATGACCAACAGGTCTTCAGACAAGACCGCTCAATAATGGAATACGAAGGCGGGAAATGAGATAGAGGAAACGCGGGATATATACGAGTAGGAGGTATTTGCGGTGGGGGGGATCAAGGGATGGTTGATAGGTAGAGATAAAGATCGTGGGAAAGTCTGCGAAGTTGAGACGGGGATTGTGAAAGCATTTGAAAGGTGTATCAAGTGCATTTTGAACTGGCAAGCGGGTCACAAAATGGTACAGCACAGGTATGAAACTTCGACACTGGCAAACTCGTGGCTGGTCTGTTGGGGGTATATTTGTTTGGTGGGCGCAGTTCGATTATCCACCGACTCGAAGAAGCTCCCAGTGAGGTTAAATATGGGGACATGCCTTGAGGTCTGTCACCGGGGATGCGGTAAGATGTATTGGTGTCCCGGAGGTCCAAGGAGACGTGGCATAGTGAGTCTGCGCGGGGATGGTGGCAGAATGAAGGATCTGTCGGTGGGTCTAGATCATCTGTTGCCTGGGGGTTGGAGTCAGAATTAGTAGAATAAACGGAAATACGCTGCCGCAGGGAGTCAGTGTAGAAAAGTGCAAGGGTAACGTCGAATCGAACTACCTAGCAGCAGACTTCAACTTGCGAAGAGCTCACGATATTCAAAGCCCGCCGCCTCCGACACGACGATACTGTAAGCTCGTTGCTTACCTGAGTTCCCATTATCAACATAAACACTGTCCGAGATAATCAAGCTTAAGCTTGAGCTTTGATTATCACCGCCTTTTGGCCTAATGATCTGGACGTAACTGTTAGGGGACGACAGTCTTAACTACTTACAGATACATTGGTTTGGACACCGACGACTGACGCGCGCCCAAGCTCCAGGCTATCATCTGATTGCGTCTCTGGCCCTAGAAAGAAAGGGAGTTCACCATTTTTGCCAACGTCTAGCAGCACCAATATAACTTTTCTGTTCGTCAAACTTTTTCCACTTTTGCCATCTATGTAAACAGATGCCATTTTGACAATGACCGGATCGCGATAAAGAAGGAAGCCTCAAGAAATGACCATAGAGATTCTAGTATGGGAGACCAGATGTGGGCGCGTATTCAAATCACTAATCATGTGTCTTTTGCTGATAAGCTGCCGCGCGCGACACCATTAATGCCACTTACCATGCATAGGCCTAAACTCGTGAGCCACACACGCATGATAAGATTTGAGTTTCTTTTCACTTGATGTGTCTGGGTTGTAATAAGAGACATGCTGAAGGTGCACGCGTGCATACTGGTTTAGCATCGGACTCACGGTACACTTTTATGTGCGCTTGACTGACAAAAAAACGAAACAGTGTCAACGATTTCAACGATGCTGGTCAAGATCATTGATATCGTTTCCTTTTTTGCACCTAATATATACCATGGCCGATCGAAGGCTTCGATTCTCAACAAATCTTATTTAATATCATCTACAACATCGAGGTAGGTATCCTACTGTTCCCACCGACTTCGTCTCACAACCTTCCTCCCTCCAGACTGGTCATCAAGCTCAGGCAAATTCGTCACAAACCATGTCTGATATTACAGCTTCAGACGCCCTTGTCGCTTTACGTCTCCCCTCTACAGACACGAATCAAAAGATCTGATGAAGACAGATGTCCACCCGTCTGCTATGCCAGGACAGATCCAAAAGCCCAGACCTTCCTGACACGTGGAAGCAACCGCCATGGCCCCTTGCTCGGCTTTCTTCTTCGTTACCCTTTGCTGGTTTACTCTTGGAAAGTCCAATCTTGAGGAACTGTGGCAGGATGTAATAGCAAAGAATAGGTGGGAGAAGCGTAACTTCAACGGCGCGGTAGTCGGGGTCGCTATAGCCGTGAGCATATCGATAATCTGTATTTTGTTTTGTATGGCTGATGCTACCGCTTTCTTAGCAAAATATAGTCTATGTAGCATCCATAGTGGTTAATCGAATGGACACTGGTGCTTCTAGCCCGTGCACCCTCTGGACCGATCTGTCGCTTCTGTGGTCTGGGCTGGGATTATTTTGGCTTTGCTTTTTCGTGCCTTTGTGGTTCCTGGAGGCCCGGTATCAATATGTACGACCAGCTTGTAGGCAATTTTATGGAGCTTTGAGTGTTGTTTTCGACTAAAATCCTTATCTCAGAACTGGAAACCATTACCGCCTGCCTTCATCATCTGTTACTTGGGTTTCCTTGCTATCCAACAATATGTTTTCCTCGCGTCTCTGTCGGTTTTTGTGTGCGGTAGGTGTACCTCTCACTTCGTGTTTTATGGTGCTGACCATTGGTATCTTGCTACGGTTCTTCATCGCTTTTCTGGGTGACAATTTCATTTCTTATCTTGTAGTGGCTGATACGATCGTCATCCTCTTCATTAGTGTTTTTCGGGATAATGCACAGAACGTCCTCACAGTAGTACCCTGCACGATTACAGTTAATTGTCGAGTCAATTGAATGTTGCGTTTTTGGTCGCTGGCACGAAAGTGGGCTTAAACTTGGACCCAAACCCAAGCATTCTGAGCGTCAATTTCTTATCAACGACCGTTTACCATCAACTCGAAGTCATGGAGGTATCAAGCTGGCTTGACAACTTCGCTCACTCATATGTTGCGTTTTCGAGTCAAATGATCATATTAAGCACGAGATATTCCTCTACTCGATTCAAGGTCTCCCATTGTTCAAGTGGTAGTGAAAATGACCCAACAGCGATCATAACGACCAACTCAGCAAATAGCTAAGAAATCGAGCCATGAGCAACTTCAATAGGAAGGCAGAAACACAACTCACTCTCGCGAGGTAACAAATCTCTGAATTAATCTTCACGTAGGAGGAAGGCATGCACTGTACTATGACAAAGCGAAAAGGGTGAGTCACGAAGTTGGATCCTGCCAGTGAATCTAAAGCAAACTTACATAATCATCGCACTTGAAATCATCACAGCAGGTCATGGTGGAGTTACAATAACCGTCAGGTTCAACACAATCATCATCCCTGCTGAAAACAGCTGATGTGGCACTGACGGACATAACTGCTGTCAGAGCAGCAATGACGGCGAAGAAGGAGAAACGCATTGGTTGTACGAGGTAATATGGGATCTGTTGTGTTTCAATAGCTCCCAGGTAGCAGGAAGACGACCTGCTTTTATATCTTACAAAAATTCTGGGGTAAACCATTCGTCGGCTAACAGCTTTGGATTAGATTTAATTGCGTGGCCTATGTAATTTTCGGATGCTGATGACAGGCTGTTCGCGTCCGATTAGGATGCATGCACGGCCACCGTGGAGTGTGACGAGGAGTATGTAGTCCAACTCGGAGCCTTGATCGGTTCTGACATGAGGTAACACTCAAGGAGTGATGTCAGTGCCCCGTTATGCACCCTTCCGAAGTACTTCGGCTGTCCAAAGTTCCCGAAAAACAGGGTGCGTGCAACGTGACATAGGAATGTAGTAAGGACAAGACCTCGAAAACCTCGTCAGTTGCAAATTACCCTCTGACTTACCCGAATAATAGGAACAGCGGCAAATATCTTGACCACCGGAACAGGACAATTTTCTAGCGCTCGCCAATGCGAACGTCAACAGCAACGACGAGGACTGAATCTATGACTCGGGTTGTTAGTTGCCCATCGCTTTGCTGGTCCCAGATACTCGCCATCCTCGAGAAGTATTTTGCAAGGGTAACAGGGCACTCATCACTCGTTGCCAGAGTGTTGCCTCGTGTTGGAACCGATCAAGGCTCCGAGTTGGAAGGGAGCACCACATACTCCTCGTCACACATGGCAACCATGTGTGCACCCTCATTGGACCCGAACAGCCTGTAATCAGAGCGTCCAAAAAATACGTAGGTCACGCAATTTAATTCTATCCCAAAGCCATTAGTTTTCATTAAACATTTCTCCTGTCAGTTACAGAGCCGACGAACGGTGTTCATGGTTGAGCTACAACTTGAAGATGCGAGAGTCCTAAGCGATCGCAATCGAATGCCAATGTTGACATGAACAGCTTTAACGTTCATATAGCTAAATGTCATTGGTGCGGCGTCATTTTGAAGGACATGAGCTTACTTTTCGAAAGCATACTCGCTCAGTTCACGACCAATTCCCGACTGCTTGAAGCCTTCGAAGGGCATCGATATTTCAGTCTTAATGATGCAGGATGGGATAACGGAAAAAAAACGAACCAATGCAGTGCCGGCTTTGAGAGCGTGTGCAACGCGGATCGCTCTGTCGATATCCTTCATGAACACCGATGAAACAAACCCATATAACGTATCATTAACCTGTTCAACCACCTCTAGATAGTTGTTAGGGATACGATGATTATGCAACAACTGTCTCACCATCTTCGGCATGAATGATTGAAAAGTTGGCGATCCTTTTTCACCCGATGCATATCAAGGGCCACAGGTGTCCAAGACTCAATTTGAGGTTCGTTTATCCAATTTTATTATAACGCATACTTTGACACCCGTGAAACTCATCATGGGACACATAACCTCTAGCAAGGACGATGGTGCTACGGGGCACCTTGGCGGCAAGCAGATTGGCCAAGAGGGATACTTTATCGAGCCAATAATTTTCACGGAGTGCCAGCCCGACATGAAAATCGACAGGGAAGAAATATCTGGCCCTGTCTCTGCAGCGTCATGAACTTGAACCTTGATTGCACGTGGGTGAGGTCTAACAGCGCCGCAGAGGTGCCCAGACAACGGTGACGTTCAGTGTGAGGGAAGGTGAATATCACGAACGGGTGGAAAGGGACAACTACGAAATGTCAGTTGATGTGTATGAATGAGGAGCAAATCACTCACCAAAAGGCTCATCTGACGACGTTCGAAGTTTCCTTATGACTTCTCCACTGCCTGGCATTCGTTGAACCTCATAGGACATGCGGGCTTTCGCCCAAATACCCAACAAATAGTTTATCCCTTCGGTCACTAGCAGTTTCTTTGTAGCACCTCACGCCATCACAAAACAATAACAATTTGTCCTTCTTGTCTTCACTGATTGCCGTCAGTTTAGTGGCCACAGGTCTTCGAAGCGCATAGACCACGGCGTGCAAGAGTTGGGCTGCAACAATGTGCTTACTAAGGAGCTCAGTCTTGTTCGATGTTCGCCACTTCGCTACATCGAAGTCTCAGTGACACATGTGGAAATATTAGGTTCATCGGAAAGTCGAAAACAGAAACGACGAACATCGAAGACGCTACTGTGAATGTACCTAGTAACTAGAGAGTACATATTAACTAGTTAACCTCTGCAGACTATTCAGTCAGACAACAAAAAAATTCAGGCTGGGTACTAGGTATAGAAATTGACAAGGAATCAAAGAATCAAACGATACACTGGATGTTGCGGCAATAAAATCATCGTTACATGGAGCTAGAAGTCCTGATGTTAGCAACTGCGAAGACGGATGGTAAAGACTAAGAACTCACGTATCTCGGCAACTCGACCAGTGTGTCCCATGTACCATGCGCCTCAAATCAAGCTCAGCACCTCCTCTCGGGATCACCAATGCAGTGCCAGGAGTATAAAAATAGATAACGGGAAGCGGGAGGTACCCAGAAAAGGAGCCGATGGTTGGGTCCCATGATCCATCCGTCAGCCTGCAGGAAGAAAGGGGTTGAATTACAATTATGATGAGAGGGTTCGAGCAAGTCAGCGGGGTTGGGGAGGGCATGTTCCAGGCTAGACGAGAAGGAAATGAAGTGATCGTTACAAACATTGGTTGGCGTGGTATAGCTTTCTTGGGTGGGAGGTGCGGTGCTTCGATGCAGCGAGAATGGGGAGAAATCTGGCTCTCTGGACATAGGGGATGACTGCACTTTCACTACATTCCACAGGCGCACAGTCATATCACCCGAACCAGACGCGATGCGAGTACCATCCCGTGAGAATGAGACTGACCAAACCGCATTAGTATGCCCCTTCAAGGGCTCACCCAATGGCTCTCTCGTCCCTGCATCCCACAGCCACACAGTGTCATCCAAACAACCAGACGCGATGCGAGTACCATCCGGTGAGAACGAGACTGACGAAAACGAACCAGTGTGCCCGTCCAAGGGCTCACCCACTGGCTGTCCCGTCCCTGCATCCCACAGCCTCACAGTGCAATCATCTGAACCAGACGCGATGCGAGTACCATCCGGTGAGAACGAGACTGACAAAATACCTCCAGTGTGCCCCTCCAAGGGCTCACCCAATGGCTGTCCCGTCCATGCATCCCACAGCCGCACAGTGTTATCCCAAGATCCAGACGCGATGCGAGTACCATCCGGTGAGAACGAGACTGATGTAACTGGATCAGTGTGCCCCTTCAAGGGCTCACCCAATGGCTGTCCCGTCCCTGCATCCCACAGCCGCACAGTGTCATCTCTCGAACCAGACGCAATGCGAGTACCATCCGGTGAGAATGAGACTGACTCAACCGAACTAGTGTGCCCCTCCAAGGGCTCACCCAATGGCTGTCCTGTCCATGCATCCCACAGCCGCACAGTGTTATCGTCCGAACCAGACACGATGCGAGTACCATCCGGTGACAATGAGACTGACGAAACCGACATAGTGTGCCCCTCCAAGGGCTCACCCAATGGCTGTCCCGTCCATGCATCCCACAGCCGCACAGTCTTATCCCAAGAACCAGACGCGATGCGAGTACCATCCGGTGAGAACGAGACTGATGAAACCGAACTAGTGTGCACCTTCAAGGGCTCACCCAATGGCTGTCCCATCCCTGCATCCCACAGCCGCACAGTCTTATCCCAAGAACCAGACGCGATGCGAGTACCATCCGGTGAGAATGAGACTGATGTAACTGGATCAGTGTGCCCCTTCAAGGGCTCACCCAATGGCTGTCCTGTCCATGCATCCCACAGCCGTACAGTGTTATCGTCCGAACCAGACGCGATGCGAGTACCATCCGGTGAGAACGCAACTGATAGAACTTTATCAAAACTATTGTGCCCACTGATTATGGTCTGAACAACCGCCCAGTTCAAATCACGGCCTAATGCTAGACAAAGATTATTCGGAAACCTTGCCGTGAATTTGGTAGCCATGGTGGAGTTGACGGGCGAGAATGGGAGCGCTGATAAATACAGATGTGGCGTGCTGTGCAAGATCATACCACCAAACACTAGGATGAACCTTTGTACATCCATCGTGGTGGTCCACAAATCTTCGTATCCAGAATGGCCCTGTATTTATTTATGAGCTGTTCGGCCAATACTGCCTCGTAGGCATGTACCCACCTTCAGCCACTTGGAAACGAGTGGAAGCACAATAATTGCACCTCTGATCGCATTGAGAAGTCCGAGTGCTTCGATCCAGAAGAGCAGTCGTTCATCGTCAAAGAATGATCTGATCGCCGTTGCGAGCTCATCGTCAAAGTCCTTTGTTTGAACGTGAGTAGCCCAAAATCGACAGGAATAGGAAAGATGTGGGGGAATGGATGTTTTGATTCGTTGAGGCAGTCCTGTATCTTCGCGATTAGGGAGGTACGATGACTTTAAATCGCATATATTGAAGCGAAGGCCATGTTCCATTACTCGAAGTGATGCCAACGCTAAGTCGTGGTGTTGCGCCTTCGTCACCTCGACGAAAAAGTCTTCGCTGGATGGTTCGTCTGTGAGGAACTCTTGGAAGGATGCGTGAAGGGGTTTGACGGGGATATGCGAGTCCCTTGTGCCGCTAAGGAGGGATCCCATATGCCGTATAATGTCCACACTGTGATGCTTGTTGTGATTTGGAAAATAGTCCCGCATGGCGGTGAGAGACTCAAATGGGAGGGGTTCGGCCGTACTGAGCATTTGTCCCATGACGGAACGAAACCCCGCCAGTGCTTTCTGGTACTCTGAGTCATTGTCATACTGATCTCGTGGCCAGATATCTGCCAAAATAAGCCGATACATTTTATACAACTCGTTTGTCAATTTCCCAGGATCGCGGTTCATGACATTTTCAAAGCGAGACCTTGGGTTTATGCCGGGAGGGCATCCTTTAATATATTCGCATGCAAGATGTGCCCACTCGAAAAGTCCATCGGCTTCCATAGCGAGGTTTCCAAACTCTTTGTCACCAAAATGCGACAGCCCTTCTAGTTTGTCACATATAAAAGTGCAGATGTCGCGCTTCGCCACTGCTGTTGGAATCTCGTCCATGGATAACTGTAGAATATGTTGAGCACTGTGAAATGCACCTTCGATATCGTGAAGTGGACGAGAGGTAACGAGAATCCGAAAGTTGGATGGGAGCTCTGTGATTTTGGGAAGACCTTTTTTCTGAAGTTTACCGGCAAGTATGTGGAGAAGGTCCCGCTGTGTCTCTACTCCGCCGCTCTCGTCCAGCGCTTCGATTACGATCAAGACAAGTCCCACACTTGACCCAGAGGATTTCTTCAGTGGTTCCATCAGAAGCTTCTCCCACTGCTGGAAAATATCCGTCGAGTTCTTCAGTGCAGCAGAATCTTTGACCGCATCCGCCAATGCTCGTCTCATCTCCGGATCATGATCAGCTAGGTCACGAGCGATGGTGGAGAAAACTTTTTCATGGCGTTTCTCGGTCTTGTCGAAGCAGAAACATGAACCGAGCATCCCCTTATCACTGAACCGCTTTGCAATCGTATGAGCGATGGCCGATTTGCCCGTGCCTGCAGGGCCAGATAGCCACAGCACACGTTCAGCAGCATCTCCACTGCCGTTGATCCAATCTGTAATCTGGGAGAGAATCTCCTTGCACGTCTCTGCTAGGCACTGTTTCGTGGTCTTTAGTCCAGCGTCCTTTGCATAAGCGATGTCCAAGAGATCCAGGGTATCGCCTGAAACGGTGTGAGGGAATGTAAAGACAGAAGGGTTTCAGAATCCTTACCTGTACGATCGATGAAGACGGCCACGTCCCAATCAACTTGGTCCCGAAATTGTTGCATAAAGAGGTCCAAAGTGTCGCTGTACTGTTTAATGATGTTATCGGTCTCTGAAAGAACGTTTTTCCCAAGTCTCTTCCCTACGATAATAGTATAGAATTGATACTCGATGTACGATAACTTGGTGACTGTGACTCACAAAAGCTCTTCGTCTCCGAGTAGTTCTTGATGAAACGGGCACACTCAAGAGTCTGCTGAATGCTCTTTCCAACGATATCGTGCATCGATTCAAATTTTCCAAGGCTGTCATCTTGAGTCATGAAGTGGTAAATTCCAGCCAATTTCTGGAGAAGATTGTTGATCGATTTGTCGCGTTCTGCCTGAGCGATTATAATCTACATGGAATTACGACTTCTGAGTAGGAAACTGGACTCTGGAGAAGCCGGACGTACACTGGATGCAGCAGACAGTACACCCAGCGCTATCTTTGCGTACGGATGTACCTATACAACTTGATTAGTTCGTTTCCAATCAACAAGAATGGCCCATACATCCGCGATCTTCTCAAGGAAAGCATTTATAATCTTTATAGGTTGGAGATACGTCGTTGCAAAATTATCCGCGGCAGCGAGACCTGCTGGGGCATTGTTGGCGGCGGATGTCATAGAAGTCGCATGTCCCCCGAGCAGTCTCATGTTTTCCGTACCATCACAGGCACCCTGAAGTTCAGCATCAACTAATAGGGGATTAGGCCCTTCCTCCTCGCCAGAAGGAGCAGCCTGAACCGTAAGACCGCTGAAATTAGAGAAGAAAATCAAAATATTTGACGAAAATACCTGAGGAGCAGGCTCTCCAGACAGCCCTTGGTTCATGGAGTCGCTGGGAATCTCAGATGTGGTGGGATGCTTGTTGTCGTCGGAAGGATTAAGATGCAGCATGTCCTGGGCGCCTCTAAGAAAACCGAAGGACTAGGATAGCAAGTTCAAGCACTTACCTCGACTTTCTGACTCGATGAAGCCCCTTCGGCTTCAACGTTTTGGACCGCAGTGGTGCTGTTGCTTGTTCGCTTGAAGCGTTTCTGCACAATCTTAGCCATATTCAGGACAGTCAGCATTCACGTCCACGCACAGGAAGTTTTTTGGTTAACGCATTCTTCAATTTCCGCAGGGACTGACGGATTCCTCTACGAGGTTGGTTCTAGATGGAAAATGTATAAGGGCAGCGATGGATCTCAGACATCAGCAAACTACCGGTTTTGGATACAAGATTCCCACAGCGACACAACTAGCACAGCCCCACAGTGGTACAGCGCACAGAGCGCACAGAGTGACAGTGCGGCACAGTCTCGCACAGTGCACAGGGTCAGGCGATAAAATGTGATGTAAATTATAGATTAATATCAATATCTTGCTGGTCTTCATCAAAACACAAGATCTCGGAGAATGCATTTCACAGCGTGACAACTTATATTCATTTAATAAAGTACTTCAACAGATAGCTAAAATATAAAATGTGCAATGCGTATATGTATTGACAATCATGTACACAGTACAAGGCTATGGTCACAATGCAACATCCAACAGACAGATATTCTAATCAGCTGTACTCATCAGCGACTGCATACCGATTTTAAGAACGAATTCGCTTACATGACTTGATGGTGGATTTTGGACGAGGAGACCAAAGTGACCGCTCTGAGCAGACAAACCCGCACCTCACCACGAGAGCGCGTGTGCGCCCTACATTAGCTTCCGCATCTCCAAAATTTCTCTTTGCCCTCTTCGCTCGAAGTCGTAGGTGGTGTTTGCGCATGCGAAATTGATGAAGAAGCCGCTCAGCAAGGTCCTTCTCGAGACGTCGAACTTCGAGATCAGCTCGTGCCATCTCGAGCAGGTAAGATGCTTCCTCTGAAGTCTCCGGCATTGAGTCCATGTAAGCGTCAAATGGTTCATTTGGGTAGCGGCGTATGTACTGTAGATAAAACTGATTCAAGGCAAGTGTTAGAATCCAGCCCATAACTCACCATATTATACACTTCCGAGGAGTCAGATGTATCATCTGAGATGTCGGAAGGAGTTACAGAATCTGAGATTTGTTGGCCTCGACATAGCGAATACGGGGATTGAGATGATTGAGATGGTGAGGCATAGCTTGAACGACACTTCGACATTGTAGTTACAGTTTGCGTCGTCCCGGAAATTGCCGGGACAATATTGAATCCAAATGAGTTCAATGACTTACTTCACACCTTCGATATGCGCTGCCCCTCCTGCAGCAAGCGTTTTAAGAATGAGGGACGCTTTCTGCAACACCTGAATCAGCCTTCTTCTCACTGTTACAAGTGGGATGGTAACCTAGTTCGCATCTTAAGACCAGCACAAGCTCCAAGTCCTCAATTTCCTCTCCACAACGACACGGACCCGACCTTTGACCCGGAGTATATGGACCATGGAGTTGATGCCGACACTGGAGCAGAGTATGGGTCTTCAGGCTCGCAGGCAGATTACGGTGAAGAAGTGGAGTTTTATGACGGTGCAGGCAAGACGTGGGGTGTTGGGAAGACTTTCATGGACCAATTCAACGAGGATGAATATGCTGCAGAGAGGGAGCAAAACCAATACTTTCCTTTCGCTAGCAAACCGGACTGGGAGATGGCATCGTATATTCTTCGGTCCGATCTTAGCATGGCCGAAATCGACGAGTACCTCAATCTTGAATTTGTGAGTTCATCTATCCTCTAAATTTCTTCGTCTAAACTTATGTTCAGACCAAAACACTCCCGTTGTCATTTCGCTCTTCGCGAGAACTCCGAGGACGTGTTGAATTGCTCCCAGCTCCCCCTCAATGGAAGTATCAAAAAATCACTACCGAGTTTCCAACGACAAAAACCCTTCAAATATTTTATCGGGACGCAATCGAGTGCTTGCAGTCACTTCTGACCATCGCGCAAAGAACTGTCGCCCTCGCATGCCTGACCTGGATGAGCTCGAGACTTTGCGTCGTCGCGCTACTACTCAAGATTCAGCTCAATCTTCTTCTGAAGAGGAGGTTGTAGTACCACGCAAGAGAACGCGGATGATCAAAGCAACTGCGCAGAACATTCGCTTCTATCCTCCTTCTTGGAAGGATTTACTAGAGGCCGCAAAGAAGAAATCACGCCTAGGCTTGCTCACTAGCACAGCGTCAAAGCGCAGTGATTTTCTCAAAACCAAGGGTATTGAATATCTCTTAGAAACACTCGAAGACTTTGGATCCCAGGGTGTTGGTGTTGACGACGGATACTGGGATGAATATAAATCTGATATGGCAGTCCTGGTATTTGTGTTCTTACTCTGTCGGATCACGCTAACAATTATTTTAGCTATGGGACGATCGCGCTACTATGCGTTCCGAAATGAAAAAGGCTGCGCGTCCGATTGTTCTGGCACATTACGAAATTCTTCCACCCGATGTTGACGACGAGAACGACTATGAGCGGGAGGTGCGTGACAACGTCAAAACATTGTTGCAGAATGGTGCTTTCCTACGGGATGGAGTAGATGCACAGGCAGGTTAATGAGAAATAGCCCCGCACTTACTGACTCACGCGGTGTGTATTAGGGCAGGACCAATAATCTTGCAAACGAGGCCCTGGGCAGCTTTTGTATGTCCTATTTTTACAAGGGTGAGAACGCGCTCGCGAAGTCATTTCCAGACTTGTTCGCCGATGCTGTCCCCGAAGGTGCCGTTGCACTTGCAGCGACTGCGGTATGTGATCTCAGGCTCGGATAATCGTCTTCGCTCATTCATCTCTAACTAGCTTGCTGCCGCTATCGACGAGTACAAGACCGGTACTTACAAGCAAATGAAATTCGTCGCCAATTTATATCAACCCATCTACGACAGCGTCATTCAGCTCTACCATGATGTGCAGAAGGACCACTATCATGCAAAGAAATGCCGGGCCGCCAGAAAGAAATGGGCTCGTACTGCAGGGTATTGTGAAGCTTTTTTTATCATTTGTATCATTTTCTGACGGCTATGCAGAATCCTGACTCGCGATGATCCAAACAGGCGCCATGACTGGGGCTTGAAACTCCAACTGGACTGATCGTGTTTTTAGCATTTTTGTAGGATACCTGATTGTAGTATGACGCAATGACATCATGATTTGTTTGGTTTCAATTACTGTGCACTTTCTGTAGTGATGCTGTGAGCATTCTGCAGTATTCCTGTCTGGCCTACCCAATGCTCTGTATTGTTTTGCTCAGTGTAGCTAACACTCTGTACCGCTCTGTGCAGCTCTGTACAGTATCATACATTACACTGTACGACTCTGTACAGAGCTGCACAGAGAGAACCCTCTCTGTGGGCTCTGTGGCTCTGTCCAGCACTGTCCAGGGTTGTACAGAGGACCCTGGGTTTGTTGATGGAGACGACATACCGAGCTTTCGGCAACATTTGCCCGGCTGGATCTGGAGGCTCCTGGAGGAGAATCTAGCCTATGGTCTTCACTCATCACGAGTGGTCGTAGGTCAGTGTGAGCGAAACGGTGGGGAACAATGAGAAGCGTGTGAGAAGGGAATGGGCGTCTGATCCTTTCAAGGCAGAGCCCGGGCCAAACATTATTTAAAAGCACGGTCAACACGTTGACTTCGATCACCACTAGAGTCACACAATTCCCATCAGTTCATAGCAGCAGGTTATTGTGTGTGCATCACAGTGCAATGAAGAGGACACAAAGTCAAGAGAGCTCGGTCTCCAGAATAGAATTATACAGGCCGCAGCTCTGGTGTTGTCAAAGTGTGTTAGTAAGTTGGCTATGGCAAGCCTGCATATTAATGTGGTGGAATTCAAAGTGTTGTTCCGACTGTACTTCGAGCACACAATGAGACCAGTGCATGGGATGAAATAGTAATGGTGCTGGTAGACACTGCAAGCAATGAAATCATGAGCTCATAGTAACGATTCAAACATGAATGCATGACGCGTGAGAAGGAACGTGGAAGAAGGACTGATCCGGCCAGGTGAAATTGACACGGCTTATGCGAGGCGGCTCCGTCACAGATTATGTTCAAACACTATCTTATGTCGCTCGAAATGAATTCCAAACACTTTGTATCCTCGTTAATGATCAACATATGCAGTGGCACTCCAAAAAATCATTTCTCCACCCTCAACTCCTATGGCCTAGAGCAGAACCGGTATCGCGCTGTTGGAAATCTATATATACCATGTCCATCGTGAGTGCTTTGAGATACAGAGTGCACTTATTTTAACCATACTCTAGGAATTAATTAAATATATATTCAATTTTTTCTATCCCAGCGAGAGAGGGGATCAAAATCGTCCAGAGACTCAGACATCAGTTTCCCTGTTGCGACATACTGTGACTAGTGTGGAGTCAGTTTCGAATCTATACCCTCCTTGACAACCTCAGCGCTCCTCGTTTCGCGAACTTCAGGCTGCAACTGCCATGCATAGCATTCCCCATCACAGAAATCAGACAAAGGAATGATCAAGGTCACGAGACATGTTTCACCTACAATGTCAAAGCGGACGGGCTTCAAGACTTGTTGATCAATACGGAAGATAGACTGTTTCAATTTTCACGGGCAGGGCCCACGCAGCAGACATTCCTGCTTGTCCGCCCGTGGAATCGTTGTGACCTCGGGCTGCCTGACTTTGCTGACGATGAGGCTATGGCGGCTTGTTCTTCGCGGTTGTCTACTCCCTTGTCTTTGCGGCCTACACCCTCGTCTATTCCCTCGTTCACGCCCTCGTCTCTGCTAGAGCTGGGCCGATCTCCTAAACAATATGAATCAGTTGAATTGGAGTCGCACTCACGAGCGTTGAGGTTGATCGTTCGACTTGGACAACCTTTTGGCGCACTCCTGCTAGCACAGCAGCGTGGTGGGGAGTACAAGAGAATCGCCTCTGATTGCGATATCACTGCACAAGTCAAGGACATGACTGCTAGTCGTAACATGATGGACGTCAGAACACTAGAAATATTGTAGCTGCATTATCGGGGGGCCTCCAACGCATTTTTATTCATTACTTACATGCGCAGAACAATATCCCTGGACAATTGAATTTCTCAACGCTCGCTCTCGCAACATTCTATCGTCATGGCACGAAGGGAGAGACAGGATCCCTATTTGACTCCGTTCAACTACTCCGTCTTCCCAGAGGAGCCTAGAGATCGCAAGTGGAAGGAGCAGATCGCGACAGGACACAGGGGGTCCAGTAGACTATAATGTAAAGTCCTTCATAGAGTTTACTCTCAAATAGGACAGAAATTGGAACTAAAAAAAAGAGGAGCAGATCATGGCAGAGTGGAGTTGACCGACGAGCAGATTCCATGTGCTGCTATCAGGTCCCGTTTTACCAAGAAAGTTGATTTGGAAGAGCCTCTCACTATAATGTGTCAGTAGTGTTGTCGCTCTTGTGACTCTTTTTATATTGATACGCTCAAGTAACACTCATATCTTAATTCTCCGCCTTCTTAAGCGCTTCAATTCAGGTGGTCGGGCATGCTCTGACGCTGGTGAGTTGAATCGATTTGTTGACGGTCGACCACTTCACAACACGCTACCCTACTGGTTAGTCTCTGTGCAAAACTCATCAGTGGCTATATTTATTCCACTACGGAAGACTCGAATGGCTATGTCCCGAGACCAACGACCTATCCAATGCAAGGCTACATCCACGTATTTTTGCAGTCGAGTCAATCGGTATGGGAAGCCCGGAACGATGACGCATGGTGAATTTGTTTATGTTCTACCCCGGTCATACATCAGCTTCGCAGCAGTTGTCCTAGACGGCGAGTCTCGGCTGACGGTGTATACACGATAGTGCTCACATCACTCTTGATCCTCCAAACTCTAGCAATGAAGCTTAATATTTCTTGGACCTCAGCGCTTAGCGTCAGAAATATTCTAAGGTTGGAACGCTCAAGTCAAATTTAAAGGTAAGTAAGCTTAATTAAGGCTTCGACAAAAAGGCTGAGTGAAAGTGATTGTTACTCGCATGTCTACATGTTTGGTGAGAGGAGGGAGAAAGCCATCGATGAGCGTGTACATGAGAATGGTTGAGACTATGGCCAGGTGATCTCCGTGTCGGCTCGATACAATATTAATATTGACTGTTCACGCTTCCGTTAGCGTCCAAAACGAAACTGCAAAGAAAAGCAGCCAACGAAGAAAGGTGAATCCTACATGATATGAAACATTTTGGGCTATCTAGACACACCACCAAGATGGGATGACTTGCGCACGAAATGTGCAATAAAATGAGGCTTGACGACATAGCATTGAAACCAACCTGAGATCAAGGAAGTGGTGAAATCAAATATGCAGATTCTCGGCGTGAACAAAGAGATTAGAAAAAAGAACCAGATTCAAAGATGAGATAGGTGTCCATATGCTGTAGTGTTAGCGCCCATCTGCATACGGGGGAGATGCACAACAGAGAAAAAGAATGAAACGGGTCCGCAATGGAAGGGGGCGTGGTTGCTTCCTTGCTGCGGTAGTACGGGCATCAATAGCAGTAGGTGTTGCGGACGTGGAGGGGGTGGCAGGCCGAGTCTGCGATGATGACGCCTGAGCCTGGGGTTGACCTTGTGATTGACCTTGCTGGTGCTGTGTTTGTGGCGATGTAGCATGGCCTTGCGATTGACTTTCCTGCAGCTGTGTTGGTTGTACATTGCCACCGGCATGTTGAGGGGATGCGCAGCAGAGAAAAAGCACGAGATGAGACAACAATCGTACGAGTCGCGAATGCGCAGGTCTTGCACGTAGTGCGGTAGTACCTGGAGTAGGAGGTGTGCCGGCGGTCGAGGCATCGGAGGGTTGAGTTTCTGATGATAACACCTCGGCTTGGTTGTGCGATTGAGTTTGCTGTTGTTGTGCTCGTTTTTCCTTGTCATGTATTGGCCGGCGAGCAACAAACAGTGGCTGACAAGAAATCGTTAAACCACGGCAATTAGATATACTTCAGAAGAAAAACATACTTTTTTGTCCCGTACTGCAGAGACTTCAACAATAGGAGGACTACGAGAGAATATGGACTGCGTTGGGCGTTGCTGGAGTTCAATTGCTCCATCGGTATCAAAGCGAGAGTGGCGGAAGAGCGATGAAAAGCGTTCTAGAAGGGATGCCAGAGTACTGTGAGGGTGTTGTGCAGGAGAACGAGGATGGGTACCGCGTGTTGCAGAGGACTGAAAGTACAGAGGTAAGAACAAGAACTGGTCAAAAATACAGATAACTCACCTGGGCACTATTTTGTACCCCGTCGAAAAATGCTTGTGGTATTTGACGGGCTTGAATAGGTGGACGTCGTGTAGCATCGTTCTAGAGCGATAACCTTGAGGTGGCTGAAAAGATTGAGGAATAAGTCACGTACATTCATTAACGACATTCGAATCGGGACCTGCGAGTGGGATGTTAGTGTATTTTTTACCCAAGGACCATGAGATTTACATTAGGAATAGACGGGAGGAGGTCTTCAAGGCCAGCTTTTTTGAGGATGGCGTGAACATCCCATATATACGCGTTATTGTTTCCACAACCAGTGATTAGCACCTTTCCATCAGAGGAAAGGGCTACAGAAGGCAAATCCTGCTCGTGCTGGAGAGGTGGTCCGACTTGGAGGTTGGCGTCGAGATTCCATAGACGCGCTGTTTTATCGATTGATGTACTTGCAAGGAAGCGGTTGTTCCGAGATAAGGAGATGGCGGAGACATAGTGCTCGTGACCTTCAAGGGTGGCGATCTGCTGCCAAGTGGCAGTGTCGAATATCCTAATCGGGCCATATGAACCGGAGATAAGCTTCTTCCCATCCGACGTCCATGCCAAGCTGCAAACTGTGATGTCGTGTTTGAGTGTGTTAAGACGCTCGCCCGTCTCCGCATCCCAGATTTTTACAGCTGTGTCCTCTTTAATAGATTTGTCTCCGCCCGTCGCAAGTTTTGACGAGTCAGGCGAGTACATCACCGCATACACCCATGTGTGCCCGGTTTTGATTGTCAGGACAGTTTTGCCGCTGTTGACATCCCTGACTCTTGCCATACCATCCCAGGATCCACTCGCTATTCGCTCACCATTTGCACTCCAGCACAATGCGCGCACAACATGGGTGTGTCCGGTCCATTTCGAAATGACCTTCCTCGTCTTGACGTCCCACAGCCTCACATCGTAATCACCGCCTGCACTTGCAATTGTCTGACCATTTGGAGACAATGCCATAGACCACATTGTGTTTTCCCCGTCCCACCAGTCTTCACCTATCTGTGCACCGCTCTCTAGGTCCCATAGTCGGAGTGAGCTGTCCCACGAACATGTGACGATGTGTCGTTTGCCAGGCAAGTGTACAACACCATTCACCCACTTGGTATGACCTCGAATCGTCTGGCGCGGCGTGATCGCTGCCATCTTACTGGTGGATGAAGACATAGTTAGTGCTCGGAGGCTCAACTATGGCAGATTGCGGACTGTATATACGAGAGAAGCCTGCCGGGATCTTGGAAACCGACCACGTTTTGTGGCAACGGCAATGGTTGCTGGTGGATGCGTCCAGGGGCCTATCTTTTGCCCCTTCAATTTGATACTTATCAGAACCACACAAGCCATTGCTTATGAGACAATATGCTCACTGAATTCAGTCCTCACCAACAAGACGGATAACATATGCAGGTGCTGCGAAATTCGAGAATGCGCAAGAGATCTTTATGGATATCCGAAGTCGCTGGTAAACAAGTCGTCAGCTTTTACTGACAGATGAGCCTAGAGATCCACTCACTGGAAGTACCTTTCAGACGAGTCGATCAACAGAGATCAATGGATGTCTGGTTGGGAGTTGAGGAATTTGGGCGGTTATTCCATTCCACTTCTAAAGCTGTATCCCATGCGTTATCCTCGTATTCGCTTCACAGAAATGAACTTGCTGTGTAGACAAAGCGCTAATGTTTGCGACCGGCGCTATGCGCGTCTTCCTATACATAAGATCCATATTGATGGTTATGACAATCATTTGACAGCATCCTGCGCTCCCTCCTCACTCCGCACGTTTCTCCCGACCTATGTTCGAACTTCAGCATACACCGGACGTTCCCAACGAGGTCATTTTGACTGAGTATGAGAAGGTATGATAAGCTGATAGGTGAGTGATCATGCATGTCAAGGGTGGTCGTCCGAATAGTACCGCCCGAACCTCCTGCATCCAGCAAGACGTCCAGGTCACTCAAGTGGAGGGTAAAATATACTGAATCGCAGCCAACCAAGGCCGTCAGGCTGAATCCCGGGAAGGAGTAGTGTTCGAGTCAAACTGAATGCAGTTATTCCTTTAGTCCCTGTGCAGAAGCAATCAGCAGCTATATTTATTCCTCTCCAGCAGACTCGAGTGGCTATATCCCGAAAATAATGATCTATCCGCTGTGAGACTACATCCGTGCATTTTCGCATTCAAGTCAGTCAATATGGAAAGCCCAAGGTTCATACCTTGGATTTTTCGGCTGCTCGTTGCTAATGTTATCCCAGAATTGTTCCTTTCCTTCATGACATTGCCTAAAATTGGAGGCGCAGCGTCATCACCTGCTTGGAGCTTCGACATTTTACACGTGAGGAGATCTTCGCAGTTGGCGGCGCTGCGTTTCAAGTACATGGAAGGGTTGCTCTTCAAAATTCACTCTCTCGGTTTGTACCTTTGCTTGGTTTAATACCTGTTCGGGCGCTGTTCAGGTTAAATCAATTGCTTTAAACTCTCTGCGGCAAGTAAATGGTGAAGTCAGCACCCGGATATATCGCATTCTGGCATGTCTGGTGAGACCAGTGCCACATTCCGCTCAACACCGCGGTACTAAGCCACCCCAGAAAGAAGCTGTTGATTTTCTTTCCTTTTTTTTTCACTTTGATAACGTTAAGCAAAGAGCCCTCCATCGACTCCCTTGCCTAGTGCCAATATGTTTTTCAATCCCTTCCGGTCGTCGTCAGACAAGGAGAAGCAAAAAGCACGTCAACTGCAACCCAAAGCCTAAAAACTTGTCTCGGACAGGCTACCTACATGTGTTTTCTACAATTCCGTTGCGTGGACGCTATGCAAAATGAGATGGACATAATGAATCCCACCGTCGTCTTCTTCCTTCGGAACGAACAGATCTTTCAACCTTGTTTCCTTCTGATGTTGTCCTGCCATGGACGTTTGGGCGGGAGTCGGAAGAGAATGGTTTCGATCAATATATTATTTGCCACTACACGTCATACACAGCGAACATACTAGGCGTCTCTGCAAATCTATGATGATGTTATACTAGGAAGTGTGATGCACATTCAGGATCTTACCCTCAACATATTACGCCATAGAAGACAAGTCAAGAGTGGGATAGCAAGTCCTGTTCATACCTATTTGCCACTACACGTCATACACAGCGAACATACTAGGCGTCTCTGCAAATCTATGATGATGTTATACTAGGAAGTGTGATGCACATTCAGGATCTTACCCTCAACATATTACGCCATAGAAGACAAGTCAAGAGTGGGATAGCAAGTCCTGTTCATACCCAATCACCCTGGCAACTCTCTCGACCAACGGACGATCCTGAGGTGCATCTGACCAACATTCCTCAATGAAATTCCAGTATTTGTCAGAGAATGCAGGATAACGTGATCGCAAAGGCTTGACACCATTGCCTATGCGTTGAATGACCGCAGCTTCACTTAGATAATAGTAGGGAGGTCTGCAGGTCAGGACCTAAAACTAACTATATCAGTGGGGAGGGTGAAAATTTCCGAGATGTACCTGTAGCATGATACCGCCAAAAGAATAGACATCACTGCACGTGCTTGGTCGTATTGGAAATTCATCGTCCGGCTCTCCAAGTAGCTCTGGAGCCAGCCACCGAAAGTTTCCGTGGAAAGTCGAGGTCCAGGAAGCCAGAGAGACGCTCAAGACTTCAGAGTACACAAGGGACAGACCGAAGTCAGCGAGGCAAGCTGTGCCATCGCCATGAATAAGCACATTCGGCTGGATGTCATAATATCAATATCTGAATCAACGTGAAATCATCGAAGAGCGCCCAACTTACGCCAGTTAAGTCGCCGTGAATGACGTTGTTCGTATGAACTGTCAAAGAAGAATTATGGATCTAGCTGGAAGAATCGACACTCAAGTCTAGTACGAACGGTAGTGCAGGCCTTCAGTAATATCTCGGAGCTATAATCGCTGCTAGTCAGTCATCTACGATGTATATCACAAGACTTACAATCTGGAATCGTCTGACCATGGTGAGGTGAGCATCTTCCCGCTCCAAATAGGTTGTCAGATTACCATTCTCTGCCCAGGGGCTGACTATTGCCATGAACAAGCCAAAGCCGTATGTGTAGCCATACACAGACAGAATATTGTGATGTTTGAGTCTTGCGCAGATTCTTATTTCACGGCGTATCCTCTGTAAAACAGTTGGCGTAATTAATAAACAGACTTTCATCAATGTACCCACTTTGGTCTTTTTTTCCATCGCTTCCCCAAGTTGATCAGAGGCGTACACAAGCAATGATTTCACTGCAACCTGCCGTATTGTCAACTTCGCACAAGTAGGTAGAAACAATATTGCACGAACCGCGATCGGTCCCCGATCCGTTTGATAAGTACATTTCCATATCTCTCCAAATCCGCCACGGGCAACAGGATAGTCTCCAGTCTTGGTAATAGACTCTGTGAGGTCTTGGAGCATCGCAGGGGAAACTGATGAATGGGACTGAAAGTGACTAACTATAGTCGTGACAGTAAGTAGTAGAGATACTTACATCTGGCGCAAATGGCAGCTGCAGAGCATCACATCCTTGTTTCTGTAAAAGGAGGTGAGTAGTCAGAGATGATTTTCGCACCGATCTCGCAGTAAACTCACTGTCTAGAGGTGAAAATAATATCAACTATCTGCGATTGATTTGGCACCCTAGAAACGAGAATGGGAAAACGAGCCTAGACAGGGCTCACATCAAGTGGGTCAACATCCTCGTCGCTCTCTTCGTCTTGGTGTCTCCTTGGGTCCTCTACTTCTTTGGTCTCGGGTGGCGTTTCAGGCGTCTGGGCGAGAACCTGAGTGAGAACCAATATGGAAAGATGCGAGGGAGATGGCCAACATCAAAGAATGTGTTCGCCGAGAAACTGTTAGGACCCTCTGGAATATGAACCTGCGCACAGTGATGGTATGTCAACCATGCAGTGCTAACTTGTACTGAAGAAGAAATACATACATTTGATTCGGAAGGAGGTAGATAAGTATCCTGATATGATGAATGTCTGAGGTGCAATGCAAGACAAGGAGGAAATGAATGCTAACAACAATGAGACGCTGTTGCATGTGGTCGTCTCTCTCGTTTAGCCTCTCCTGCACTTTGTGTTGCTCGAGAATCCTTCTGATGGGCCAGAGAAAAACCTTTCCGTCATAATCTCCGCTTGCAAGCAGTGTTCTATTGGGGGAAATGGCAACACATAAAGCCCAGGCGGTGTGCTGGAGTTCCAGTGATATCTGTTGGTGTGTCTTTGTACTCCATAGGCGCACAGTGTTGTTGAGCGATGCAGTGGCAATGAAGGAGCCATCAGAAGCGATGGCGAGTGAGCGAATCGAGTCAATGTGGCCGGTACAAGGCGGGCCAATCTGGTCTCCATTCAACGAATTCCAGAACTTGACCGTTTTGTCCTCTGACGCAGAAACAAGTTGTTGACCATCAGGTGACCACACAACACTTTGAACCGACAATTGATGAGCGTCGATCTTGAGAAGAAGCTCAGCGTTAGTATGAGTGTTCCAAACCCATATCGTACACATCGATCCAGAGGCTAATTTCAGGCCATCTGGGCTGAAAGCTACATTCCAGACCCAATCACGATGACTGAGTGTCTCGAGGATTGTGCCAGTCTCTGCATCCCATACAACAACCGTGCAGTCACCCGAACCACTGGCGAGTCTCTTTCCATCGGGAGAAAAGCACACCGATAGAACCCAGTCTGTATGCTTCACCAGTGGATCTAGTACCTTCTGCTTGCTCTTGATGTTCCAGATGATAACTGTCATGTCCGCTCCTCCGCTAGCAATGCGTGTGTCATCAGGTGATATGGCGACTGACAATACGCTGCTCTGGTGTCCCTCGAATGGCTCTTCCACAAATGTTTCCTTCCGTACATCCCAGATCCGCAGAGTCTTATCGTCTGAACCAGTGATGATCCATTCACCGTCATTAAAGAATGCAGCTGCCCTAACCATGTCGGTGTGCGCCTGCATCGTTGAGGAAATTGTCGGTCTCCTGTTGGTAGTTAGATATACATGTCTCGTTAGAATCAACGACTACTTACATGTTCGAACCTCGTAGGCACTTGATAGGCCTAGACCGCTTGGTGACTGATTTGATGAGAGGGACTTTGAGAATCTAGTAAATTATCACGAGTCTACTGCCCTGATTTCGGAAGCAGGTCCGGCGTAATGTTAAGTGCCCGGTGCAAATGTCTAGATTCGTGCCAGATGCGTCCCAGATGCTAACACTACGGGGTTATCGATATTTAGGAGTGGTTTATATGCTGTACAAAATGCAAAGAAAATATTTGAAGTATAAACTAACATAATGATGGGTACATAACTTCAAATTTTGGCAGTGTTTTGTGTGAAATCTAAAATATGAAGCATCGGCAACTATTTTCTTAGGAAGCAACCAAACCAATACAGCAACCACGAACACTAACACCCATTCACCCTCCAATACAATGGCACCACGTATACACTATGTCCCCAGAGGATCTCCTACACCACGCCAAACACGTCAACACCAGCCATTGACCCCAGAAGAATGGGACACACTGAGGAAACGTGTTGAGGAGATGCCACACCACCAAGACAACGCAGCAGGAAGAGCAGCTTACGATGAACAGTTGAAACAATGGTTCACCATGAATGGCCAAGACGGTAGGGTCACAGAAGAAACTCCATTCCCATTACGACCAGGCAGCGCTATGATATGCTCAGGGGAATGCTTCCGGTGCGGAGCGCATGGCCACATCGCAGCAGAATGCCCAACCCCAGAGGCATCACAGCTGTCCCTGCAGGAGAAAATCTGGCGCAGCATCATGGCTCGCTCGTTAGGGAACTTCAATCAAGGACAAGCCGTACAAATTGCCCTAGTGTTCGAGGATGAGTATACACAGCAATGGGAGCAGGGAAAAGGTCAAGGGTTGTCGGCTTAGAGGACAGCCAGACAACCCAACTAGACACCCTACCTCAATCAGTTGAACATTCTGTCCTCGCATGTGCAGAGGCAGCATGTGAGGACCAGCCCAGTAGCCCTGTTGAAAACACGTTATGCACGCAGTCTACCATTGTATCAGCGCCAGAACAATGTGAAATCATTGACTTGTATTCGACGGAGGAGGTGAAAAGCAACGCACCAGGAAACCAGTCCTGCAGACCCTTCCTACAGTACATCTCATTTACAGGACCCAACGGCGAGACCAACAGAGTCAAAGCTCTATTCGATGAGGGCGCAATGGTCAGCGCGATGTGTACGTCAGTGTTTGACCGCATCAAACACAGATTAGGGAATTGGGGACCGTCAAGCAAGAGACTTTGGATGGCCAATGGAACAACCATCCCATCAGAAGCAGTGTGGAGAGGCGAAATTGTGCTAGGAGGAGTCTCGGTGCAAGGCGAATTCGAGGTCTTCAGAAGTGGAGGCGGCTGGAAATTCCTATTGGGCAAACCGTTACTGCAAGCTTTCAAAGCTGTCCATGACTACGACAAGGATGAAGTGTGAGTAATGGGAAACAGAGGGACAACAACACTCCACAACCACGAAGCACACACAACCAAGATGACCGAAGTGAAGGACCACGAAGCAACAAATGTTGTTATCGGGCAAGGGTCAACACAGGGGGGAGAACATCCCCCCTTGAGGCAAGTCAATCAAGTAGAGCAGAACCTGACACCAGATTGCACTAACAAACCTGTCGAAGGAGCGGGAACAACGAAGGAGGCCAATGGGAAAACTAAGGACGAAACACCAAAGAACGATGAGAAGAAAGAGGAACGAGGAAAAGAAGAGAACGCACACAAGCAGCAAGAATGCAACCCGAGGAAGAGAACAAGCAGACGAAAAGACAGAAAAGAAACAATCATACGAGCGGGACGAGTAGCAGCAAGAAGGGTCAGAGGACGATGATATAAGGAGAAAAGGCCGAAAACACATGTTCAGCAAGCAACAGAAAGGGGGAGTGAAACACTCTCCTCGAGGGAAGTACCTCTCATGAGCGAAACAACGCAGAGCAATCAAGTAGACGCTGACACCGCTCCTGCACCAGAACCGGAAATAATGATATGCATCAATGCGGATGGAGACCCAATACCAGAAAGCCAACTCGACTCACTTCTACGTGAAATCCCAGTCGAATTCTTATGGGATGACGAAGCAATATTCACCTGCTTATCGGACCCACACAATCCACAGTGCGTAGTTTGGATAACCAAACGCGTCCAGTTCAGCAATAATCTCAGCCCAGAAGAACTAGAACACGCAAGGAAATTAGTTGGAGAATATGCTGACATATTTGCGGGCTCACTGAAGGAAGTCTTACCAGTTCCAGGAGCAGTACACAGACTCCACATCCCAGATGGCACAACCTTCAATCTACGGGTACACCAACGCCCGTTAACACCACCTCAACTGCAATTCTTACACGGCAAGATTGATGAGATGTTGGAGGTATTATTGAACATGCACCCCCGGAACTGGTCAAGTGCTGTGCCAACACAGTACTCGCTAAGAAGGCCCACGAGCAAGAAGGAATGACCCTAGAAGAACTACAACGCGCGGTAAACGAGCAGTGCTTAGCACAAGATCACCCACCAGCATTCATGCTACCAGAACGGGAAGTTGAAGACAGACCGAACAAGGCAGATATGGGAGCAGGACCGCAGAAGTGGAGGATTTGTCAAAATTTTAATGAAGTTAACAAACTCACCACGATAGCACCAATGCCACAAGGTGATATCTGTGCGAAGCAGTTACGACTTAGTGGACACAGGTACATGTCAGTTTTTGATTTTGCATCCGGATTCTATGCTGTCGAAGTCCCAGAAGAGTCGTGTCCATACACAGCATTCTACGTCGAAGGGCGAGGATACTTTTGGTACCGACAGATGCCCATGGGCCTGACTGGAGCCCCATCAACATTCGCAGAGATGATGGCCATGCACCTTCACAACTTCATTGTGGACGGAACCATGGAGTTATTTGTTGACGATGGAGCCTGTGCAGCAGACAGCTATGAGGAAATGATGGAAAAACTCAGGCGCATCTTTCAGCGATGTCGGGAACACAACCTGTCACTTTCGCCAACCAAGTGCCGGTTATTCATGACGGAAACAACATTCGCAGGTGCCACAATAGGACCAAAGGGTGTACAGCCAGACTTAGCAAAACTCACGGCAATCGTCAATTG